TATAATATGTAGATGTATAAAAGTCAGCTACAACAGGACTGATTGCTATCTCTCCGTCATTCATTCATAACTTTTCACGTGACAAAAGGACTTAAAGAAAATTAAGGTGAGGTATTTTTTCTCTATTTTTCTTTATCCTTGCATGAATTATGAAAATATTCATTTACAGAATTCAACATTATTGACATCTTGTTCATTTTTGACTCACAGTGTTGTGTTTTATGTAAAAGTTAAAGTGAAACCTGACCAAAAAAAATTGAAAATTAAAATTTTTTTTTTCATTTATATATAAAATAACTTCTCATTATTTTGCTTGAATATTACTATAAATAGAACACTTATAACTATATTTTCTTATTCAATGTATCTTAATATTGCTGAGATTTGAATGAAAATTCAGGGGAAAAATAAAAATTGAATTTTTGGTCTATCACTGCAATTGATCCGATTACAACTCCTGATGGCAAACTGAGTTATCTTACATGTATTTGATAATTTTCATGTCTTCTATTTTGTCCGCATTTCATATCGATCTTTTACTGGTCATGAAATAAGCATGTGATTATATAAACATATGAAATTTAGATTTTGATCAAGTATATTCTACAAAGGACCGATATAGCTATAATAAGTAGTTTTAAATTCAAAAAACATACAAAAATGAATATCCTTCAAAGATATTTCTTTTACTTTTATGAGTTAAAGTGAGAGAATATTTTCCTGGAAAAAGATATTTTGTATAAAAAAAAGTTGACCCTTTATTTTTTCCTAAAACAGTTATTCAAGAAGTTCGTAAAAAGAAAAATAAATCGACATAAACCAATGGAAATTAATTCACTTGAAACATTTCAATAGCATAGTGGCTAAATAAATCTGACCAATACATGTTTAACGTCCATTAAAATACGATTATAAATTTCAATCACTTTATTTAACGATTGCCTCTATCTAAAGGTATTTTAGAGAAAGTCATCGATACATATATATAATTAAAATTTAGTGTTAATTAAAAATATTAATTAAAAATACAAAAAAAAAAAAAAAAAAAAAAAAAAAAAATTACTTACCCATGGACTACTTTTTTTCTTTTTCATTTTTTTAAGATGATTAATTAATTGTCAAATAGTCACCTTAAAGTTAAGCTGTTTTCATGGATGGAGATTCATTTTCAAATTTCTAATTAATTTGCAATTTTTAAATGAAAAAAGTTTTAATATTCATATCTTGCATGAAATTTGCTTATCTTAGTTTAATGATATATTAATCTTATCACTGTCCGGGAATACTGCGAAACATCACCTTATTTTCATTGCGCAGTTGATAATCATCAATACATCAAAGTCTTTGGTCGAGATTATATAAAAATGATATCGACTTTTTTGAATTTGTTTCCTTTTTTCTCCATAGTTATTCGTAATTAAATTTATAATGTCCGCATTTTGTAATTTCTGAATGATTTTTTCTACTATGCTATTAATAGATTTTAAACTTCGAAGTACCGTAATTATTCCTATGAAACAAAGATGGAAAAATGAAAAGATTCAGCACGACTTATCTATAGTCACAAAGTGAAACAAAGCCCCACAGCTTACATCCATGATTTTAATTTTCAGAAGAATCCTCAGTGGTTCAATCGTATCAATTGGGAAATATACCGTAATGATGAAGTAATATAAATATTTCTTTTCTAACCTCAATGGCTTAGGATTGGACTGGGTTGGTGCATTTTATCTTCGAAATCTGGTGATATATGATTGTCGATGTCAATACAAATATCAATTATGTGACTAAAATAATTGAACTCTTCACGCAATCCTCAACATGCTATTCGAATAATTTTGTATTGCGAAATAAAAGTGGCAGCGGAACTTCTAAACAATTTCAATCCTTATTCTTAATAGCATTCTTACTCCCTCAAGACACCTGATCCCACCTCTGATGTTTCAAAGGTCCTTGTTTGCTCTTCTTTAATTTGTATTGTTTAATTATACTTTTGGGCATGATAACTGTTCGTTAACTTCACACACTGCATTGAGTACAACTTAAAGCTTTTGAAGCAAACTAAACCAAATCGATGTACCTAAATTTCCTTCTTTGAAATTTAGCAATGCTAATTCTATCTCATTTTGCTATACTGCAGTGATATATTTTTTATAATAGTTCCAACGAAAAAGGTAAAGATAACGAACAGTGATCGATCTAAAAAAAAAAAAAAAATCAACAAACAATACAATTCTGTGAACATGACATAAAACACGGTCCCCCGGATATTACATGTTCCAACATTCACCTTGTTTACCGGATCTAGTTCTATTCGTGTGTCATATAGTTTTAATGTTTGTTTGCATAAAAATAAAAATGAATGAGAATTCAAAAAGACTGATGTAAGACCTGGTCTCCAAATAGTACGTGGATACTGTCAATGAGGGACTTCGTCATCTTTTTATTCATCAGATTAATATCAACTTCAAAGTACGGGTGTATCGAATTTTTAATTTACAAGGTATGGAAATTCCAAGTAAAATTTTCCTTAAAGAAGTAGATGTCTTTAAACAAAAACATTCACTAGACCCCGCATTATAACTCTGTAAGGACACCCACTAGACCCTGCAATATATCCCTGTTAGGACATCCATTAATTCTGTAAGGACATCCACTAGACCCTGCAATATATCCCTGCAAGCACATCTAGTAGACCCTGTAATATATCTCTTTAAGGACATCCACTAGACCCTGCAATATATTCCTGTAAGGACATATACTAGTCCCTGCGATATATCCCTGTAAGGACATCCATTATCCTTGTGAGGACATCCACTAGACCCTGCAATATATCCTTGTAAGGACATCCATTATCCCTGTAAGGACATCCACTAGACCCTGCAATATATCCCTGTAAGGACATCCACTAGACCCTGCAATATATCCCTGTAAGGACATCCAGTAGACCCTGTAATATATCTCTTTAAGGACATCCACTAGACCCTGCAATATATTCCTGTAAGGACATCCATTATCTCTGTAAGGACATCCACTAGATCCAGCAATATATCCCTGTAAGGACATCCACTAGACCCTGTAATTTATCTTTGTAAGGACATATACTAGACCCTGTAATATATCCCTAGACCCTGTAATATATCCCTAGACCCTGTAATATATCCCTGTTAGGACATATACTAGACCCTGTAATATATCCCTGTAAGGATTTTTATGAAGTTCGTTGATATATAATTTTAGTCTCATTTCATTCATACATTACTTTCATTCACACTTTTTAAAAATCGCCTTTAATAACATCATTGTAATAATGAAGAAATCGACAAAGAATATATTAGAGAGAAATAATTTATATTTCAAGAGTTAAATGGATAAATCATCCAAGGAAAATAAGTCTAATAATTTGTTTGATGAATGATTGCCCATTAATTGTAAAGCAATTAAAGGAAAACTTCTGATCTTTATTAAGGTCTTCAGTGTAATGAAAAAGGTGGAGCCAACCAACAACAATCGATCTCAAACAATACGAATCCACAAACAATACAAATCAACAAACAATACAAATCTACAAACAATAAAAATCCACAAACAATACATATAGACAAACAATACAAATCCACCAACAATACAGATCTACCAACAATACAAATCCATAAACAATTCAAATCCACAAACAAAAAAAAAAAAAAAAACCCACAAACAATACAAACCCACAACACAAATCCACAAAACAAACAATACAAATCCACGACCAATACATATACACAAACAATACAAATCCACAAACAAAACATATACACAAACAATACAAATTTGTGTACAGGGATTAAAACATGGATCCTAGAAAACTCCTGTGGTGATTTATATTTTAAGAAGAGAAATAAAACAACACAGACTGTGCATTCTTCTTTGCAATTGTCCTCAAATTTCATGGCAGATAAACATACACTTTGAAAGGCCATATACGATTGTAAACTCTATATGTAGGTAAATAAAATTGCATTTAAATGAATATGAATATAACCTATCCAACTTTTGAATCACTGATTTCGCTACAAAACAAATCATACGTAGACTGGTAGAGTTATTTTAACATTTAATTTGTGCATAAAAGTGAAAGGGAAACGAAAGACAACGTATCAGCTAAATAAATGTTTTATCTACGGTAACGGTTTTGTAGCAAATTGAATTCAAGGATATGCTAATGATACTATATTTGTACTAGAATAAACTACAGAGGGTGTACAAACACAAAATGTGTGTATTGCAATATCAATTATTTTAAAAATAATACGGATAAAGGCTTTTTATATCCACTTGCTTTATAGGAATGAATGCTAGTTTATATCCGTTTGCTTTATAGGAATAAAGGCTTAAATCCACTTACTTTATAGAAAAGAAAACAAGTTTATATCCACGTTCTTTACGAACCATTACCCTCATTTTTATTCCGAATGTAAACTAAAAATTAAAAACTTTGTTTATAGTATAAAGGTGCCTTAGTTTATTAAAATTTCAATCGCATTTCTCTTTTTACTTGTATACAGATGACCACGAAATTTATTTTTTTTTTCTAGTTTGGCTATATGTGAAAGAATTTAAAAGGTAAAGATAACAAACAGTGATCGATCTCAAAAATCCACAAACAATACAATTATGTGAAGAAGGCATAAAACACGGACTCCTGGGAATACCAGAGGTGGGATCAGGTACCTAGCAGGAGTAAGCATCCCCTGTTGATCGGTCACACCCGTCGTGAGCCCTATATATTGATCAGGTAGACGGAACGTTCCGTAGTCAATTCAGTACAAAAACAAAGGCCAAACAATCGGTATGAAACAAGTCAGCCAAAATACGATCCAACGATAGGCTACATTTGCTAGCAAGGTCATTATAACGATCATAAAATTTACGAAATGCTGACTTTAAACGAGGCTGTTGAAATAAATAGTTATAAATTATATAATTAACGCTTCTTCTTTTTTATGATTCCTTTCAGGAATGGACTGGGTTTTGAAATTAGCATCTGTAATACTTTTGTTTGAATTAGGTAAGTCTGCTATAAGATTTGTCATTTTTTTTTTTCGAAAACCAGTCATAAATCTAGTAAACACGGTTTTACTTTTCACAGTTAAAGGTTTTCCTCGTAGAGAGAAAGATGCAAATAAATACGAAAGCAATACCAGTCATGGAAATTTAAAGCTAGAGCTTCACCACGAAAAAGATGTTCCTCAACACCAAAATAATATTTTGGTGCCTTATGAAAACTCTTTGAAACAGATAGCGAAAGAACCGGCATCAAGTACAAGCCATAAATTTCACAACCTTTGGTCAGAAAGAACGGTACAAACTCCTGAGAACAGAGTACCATCTTTGCAAAACAGCAAGGACTCGGTTGAAAAATATGCCATGCTGGCTTTGATTCCAGTGAGGGGAAGAAGGACTTGGAGGCGAAGAGGTTTTAAGATTTACAACGCAGTTCCGGATGCAAGATACCATTTTGACTCAATGGCTATTGACCCAATGTTTAACTTTCTTGGCATTGGAAAGTAAAGGCTCATTTTCGTAAATGTAATGGAAATCCGAAGGTGAATAACGAAAACAAAAATTAATTTATGCACAATAAAGAAACTTGAGCTTCAAGTATTTGTGTTAAGGGACAAAATATAGTTTAAAAATGTCGCCCAACCTCATCCAGTCACTATATATGTGGTCTGTTATAAGATGCAATGTATCTATAGGAATCTGGAGTAGACAGTTGTATTTGTAAGCTCGGAGTATGAACCTTCGAATTGATTATATACTTTTTATATCTCAAAACATAACACTGTATGTAATTTTTTGCCATTATGAAGACCTCAATGATAGCCCACTACTAGCTGTTCCGGGATGTAATTTGACCTTAGCAAAGGTTTACCCATGTAACATACTAGTAATACGTTTAAGATATGAATTGTTATCATTGCTCACTTCCTACAGAAAAAAGTATAGAATTTGACAGAATTGTGAATTTAGCACATTGGTATAATAAAAAACCTAAAAACATAAAACCTAGTATTATTAAGATTGTCTCTATCAAAAATAGGACGATAGCAAGCAGTCTTTTTCTATTATTTTAAGGATAAAATCTTGTCATCAAAATATGTTAGTGACAAATCTCCATTTGTAAATAATTAAGCTAGAAACGTATACTTTGTGGACGCAAAGAGATAAAATAAACATATATCTTAAGATTGTTTTTAATTGACACACATTTGTCAAAATACAATGGCCTGGGTTTGGGAAAAATAATATACAGAGACGTTTTCCATAAGTAAAAAAAAAATTCTTAGATTAGGAATTGTGAATATGTAAATATCGTTTAAATAATTTTGCCAGTATATTGTTATTTACCAGTTTTACAAATGATTAGCTCTTTAGTGGTCCTTTTGTAATCTGATTTCAATGTTCTCATGAGGCATTACTATATCAGTGAGATTGAATTGTAATAAAGTGAAAAATGATATCCTTGGTTCATCGAAATATAAGTCATATGTTTTCGTCAAATGCACTTAAGAAAACCGTGTATCATGTATTATGTCGATACCTATATCTAAAAGTTAAGTTTATAAAAGGTCTTCTATGAAAGAAAATTTCTTGATTTACTGTAATTGTTAAGCAATATACAAAATTCTAGTGTCAAGTATTCAAACACGTTGAGATCCAGAATGAAAAACAAAATTTATTTGTTTCAATCAAAATATGTATATTTTGAGTACATTAACAATGAATTCTCGTCACTCAGCCCCTGAAGTATAATGATATATGATTACATCCATAGATGGTATAAATTCAAAAAAGATTAAACATCATTTCCATAAAAAAGGAGACAGGATACTTACATTCACTGACCGTGACCGGAAGCCACACCGTGATGTGCATTAATAGGGCCCTGAGCTTCTAGTGTTAACCGCTGGACAGAGAAAGGACAGAGTCAAGTTACTCATAATGGTCGTATTTTGGGTTCATTGTGTCTTTTCTTCACATGGCATATCTTTGTATGATTGATATATTTTGATTTATTACCGTAAAATAATAAAATCACTTTGAAAAACCCATTGACGAATATGCAGTTACAGATTCAAAAAGAACCTAATGAGGAGCTGCCATACTTTTACTTGTTATGACATAGTTATACCTGTTTGACATAGTTATACCTGTATGGCAGCTTTACCTTTATGATATTGATTTACCTGTATGACATAGTTTTTAAAGATTCGCTCGTCGTCAGCACTCAGGGCTGTAAAAGATAAGCATTAAATTCAATATCATAAGCACAAATTCTAATTTATATATATACCAAACTGCAAATATTCAATATTAAACCTACCTATGAGGATCTCTAGTATTCTTGAGTATCCAACAGTATTAATGAAATTTGTTAGAGTTCCAGCATCTGCGTGAGAAACCATATCAACAAGCAACAATTGTTGATCTACCGATAACGTTGATAGAAAGTTGTTAAGTTGAAGTTGTTTTAAAACGTCGAGAATATCACGTTCCTAAACAAAAGAACATAGAAGGTTATCAACAGCCTCGTTTTCGTCATCATTTTGCAAGTTTTATGGTCGATACAATGACCTAGCTTGTCAGCAAATACAACCTATCATTAAGTCAAATGATGACTGCCGTTTTTCATACTGATTTTTAGGTCATAATTTACACACTGAATTGTCTACGAATTTTTCCGTTTTTCCCGACCTTGACAAGGAGCAAACGGCGGGTGTGACCGATCGGCAGGGGATGCTCACTCCTCCATGACACGTGATCCCACCTCTGATTTTTGGAGGTCCGTATTTTATCTGCTCTCGATTTGTATTATTCAAATAGACTTTGAGCCTGAATAATGTTCGTTATTTCCATATTTCATTAATAAATATTCATTGGTATCATTGGGATTGACAGACCTCTAAAATAGACCTGATAAATTTATGATTGTTTGTTTGTTGTTTAACGTCCCTCTCGAGATTTTTTCACTCATATGGAGACGCTAGACCTGATAAAAGATTTAAGTTTGACCAATATCGAAATATTTTGTGGAAGCTATGTATTGTTTTCGTAAGGACCCACCTTCTCTCTCTCTCTCTCTCTCTCTCTCTCTCTCTCATATAATAAAGATTTTTGAAAACTGTGTTGAGTGCCCGAGTCTCCCTGACGAGATTCCTGTCAAAAATCAATTGACTGGTTCAGGGCAAAATAAATGACATTAATTATTGGGAATTTGGTACAGACAGCTCTGGGCAAGAACTTCATATCTATTCTAGGAATTTCTGTGGCAGAAATAAGAAAGCTGGTAATGAGCTCTGAATGTATTGGTTCATTTCCGTGTAGACTGAATTTGTGAGAGAATGACTGGATCATGAAATTATCAAATAATACTTCACTAACTCTATACCAAGGTTTTATTTAATAAAGGATAGGCATTATTTTTATTCAATTTGGTTCCATCAACCTGGTTTCTTTTACATAATAAATATATTACCGTTCAGTAATTTAGGGAATGCCTGATAACATGAATAATTTACCTCTGTGATTACAGCACAGAGTGGTTTGTAATTATGGAGATTTTGGATGAAATCACTCACCACGAGACCACAAAGACAGACACCCACCAACATTGTCAAAATCAGGATCTTCATTCTGGGAAAGGATGTGTTCTGTAAAAATTGGAAAAAGGAAATAAAACATTAGGTCGTCTTCTAACTTCCATATCATAACCCACGTATCTAAATTTTCTTGATGAACGTATCTGATGTCGATTAAATTGGCAAGGTTTTTAGTGTTTGACATTTGAGTTTAAAACTAATAACTGTTTGTATTCATTTTAGGAAATAATCATTTAAAAGCCACAATAATGAAATGCTCAACGTAAAAATATATATATTAACTATAGAGGAGAGCCCACTACAGCCTAGCTAATTTGTCGTTATTGAGATACATGACTAGTAGGAAAATACTTATTAGAGTTTTGTAATGAAAGGTTCGGGCTTTCTATCCGGGGGTTTGTTTGGTTTTTTTTTTTTATTTCAATAGTACATTTCGTTATTGTTAATGATCTAGTATGCCAGTTACTTTGATCACTTAAAGGTGCTTGGACACAGATTTGAAGTTAATATTTTCTCAAATTTTCTGTAAAATTTCATGACTTATATGTTGCTATAGAATTTCATACTAAAATATAATAAAAATCTTATTGCATCTCGAAGTTATTGAAACTTCAAATTTCTGGACACGTTTGATTGACACATCCTTGCACTTTCACAAATTTTAATTTTATTCTTAATACTTAAGAAAAGTGGCAATTTTGTTGTGTATTAATGAAATATATCAAAACTATAATCCAGAAAATTCAGAGTAGAAATGTTCGAAAACAAAACCCACTCACAGTATTGTCAGTCCGTTCTCAGTGGTGTGTGCAGACTTTAACACTTGAACACACCCGGTGAATCGTAAACATTAACAATAACAGAGCTCGTGCCCTTTTTACAAAAACAGTTTACGTTTCACGGGTGTATTCAATTTGTTAAACTCTGTACACAACACTTAGCACGGGCTGACGATATTAGTGAGGGGGTTTGCTCTCGCACATTTCTACTCTGAATTTTCTGGATTATAGATGTAATGTTTTTCATTAATACACAACAAAATCGCTTCTTTTTTTCCTAAAATATTAAGGATAAAGATAACATTTGTGAAAGTGCAAGGATGTGTTAATCAAACGCGTCAAGGAATTCGTAGTTCCAATAATTTCCAGATAAAATAAGTTTTTAATTATATTTTCGTGTGAAATGCTATTGCAATATATAAGTCGTGATTTTACACAGAAAATTTGAGAAAATATTAACTTCATATCTGTGTCTAAGCACCTTTAAGGGACTGATATGTTTGACGAGTATAGAATACCAAGAAAACGGATCATTATTTTACAGTAAATATTTTAAAGATCTTCAACATGTTTAATTACATGTACACTATACAAAGGATGAAGTAAAATAATTCATGCATCGACATCAGACACGATGAATAAACCAAGGATGCAGAAAAATATTTAATATATAAACATCTTTAGATAAGTTGAAGTTACATGGATTTTAACAATCCCCTTCAACAAGTTCAAAGTCAGCATTTCGCAAATTCTATGGTCGTTATAATGGCCTTGTAAGCAAATAACACCTATCAATGGCTCATATTTTGACTGATATATGTCATACTAAATGTTAAATCTTTGTTTTTATACTTAATTTGCCTGTGGATAACTTCTGATAATCAACATGTCTAATTACGTAAACACTCTAAAAAGGATACAGTAAAACATTTAATATATCAACATGTCTAATTACGTATATACTTTATAAAGTATACAGTAAAATATTTAATATATCAACATGTCTAATTACGTGTACACTCTGTCAAAGATACAGTAAAATATTTAATATATCAACATGTCTAATTACGTATACACTCTGTCAAAGATACAATAAAATATTTAATATATCAAAATGTCTAATTACGTATATACTTTATAACGTATACAGTAAAATATTTAATATATCAACATGTCTTATTACGTGTACGCTGTACCAAGGATACGGTTAAATATTTGATCTATCAACATGTCTAATTACGTGTACACTCTAAAAAGGATACAATAATAATATTTAATATTTCAGTATGTCTAATTGGTCTACAGTCTATCAAGTTTACAGTAAAATATATACATCAACATGTCTAATTACGTTAAGTACACCAGGGACACATTAAAATTTTGATATATCAACACGTCTGACATGTACAGTCTTTGTCAAGGAAACGGTAAAATATTTAACGTTTCCCACTCTAGTAATTCAGAAATACCAAACTAACGAGAGGCGTTATATCGTACTCCAGCACCTGGTAAATTAAGTAGAATACTTTCTGAATGTAAAGCAAAACAAGAGGCCCAGTGGCCACATCGCTCACCTGAGCACTATGGCTAGGAAAAAGCAGAAATCATTTCAATCTTGAAAGGTTGAAAAGTTTAAATATAAAAGTGGTTGGGGGGGGGGTGTCAGGAATTGAACAAATTTGAATCTACATTATCTGAGGATGCTTCCATTTAAATATGACCAATCATGGCTTTGCTGTTCTCGAGTAGAAGATTTTTAAAGATTTAACCTATGTATTCCTATGTAAAACTTTGATCACCCATTGTGGCCCCACCCGATCCCCAGGGGTCATGTTTGAACAAACTTGAGTGTACACTATCTAAGAATGCTTCCATATAAATATGACCAATCATGGCTTTGCTATTCTTAACAAATTGTTTTTTTTAAAGATTTTTACTATGTGTTCCAATGTAAAACTTTGATCGCCCATTGTGGCCCCACCCTACCCCCGGGGGTCATGATTCGAACAAATTTGTATGTACACTATCTGAGGATGCTACCATATAAATATGACCAATCATGGCTTTGCTGTTCTTGAGAAGAAGATTTTTACTATGTGTTCCTATGTAAAACTTTGATCGCCCATTGTGGCCCCACCCTACCCCCGGGGGTCATGATTTGAACAAACTTGAATCTACACTACCTGAGGATGCTTCCAAGTAAATATGACCAATCATGGCTTTGCTGTTCTTGAGAAGAAGATTTTTGAAGATTTTTCCTATATATTCCTATGTAAAACTTTGATCTCCCATTGTGGCCCCACCCGACCCCCGGGGGTCATGATTTGAACAAACTTGAATGTACACTATCTGAGGATGCTACCATATAAATATGACCAATTATGGCTTTGCTGTTCTTGAGAAGAAGATTTTTAAAGATTTTTCCTGTATATTTCCTATGTAAAACTTCGATCGCCCATTGCGGCCCCACCCTAGCCCCGGGGGTCATGATTTGAACAAACTTGAATCTACACTACCTGAGGATGCTTCCACATAAATTTCATGTTTTCAAGCACAGTGGTTCTTGAGAAGAAGATTTTTTAATGATGCCATTAATTTTTCACGAATTCTTAATTATCTCCCCTTGGAAGAGGGCGTGGCCCTTCATTTGAACAAACTTGAATCCCCTTTACCCAAGGATACTTTGTGGCAAGTTTGGTTGAAATTGGCCCAGTGGTTCTTGAGAAGAAGTCGAAAATGTGAAAAGTTTACAGACGGACAGACGGACAGACGGACAGACAGACGGACAGACGGACTACAGACAAAATGTGATCAGAAAAGCTCACTTGAGCCTTCGGCTCAGGTGAGCTAAAAACTATAACACTAGTACAGTTAAGAAAAGCATGCGCACCGCCTCAAGATTTACTGCTAAAAATATCTTTTAATCCCTTTACAGATAGTGATTTATTTGAATTCACTCCGACAGTTTAGGCTTATTTCTGATAAAACCGTTATATAGTGCTGACGTTTACTGTACTGGATTTGGTTTTATAAGAATTAGATATATAATACTAAGATGTACTTTTATTTGTTGATTATCACCAGTAAAACGCCAGTGTATCAACAAATCGGATAATGGGAGGAGGTACCTATTAATCTCGCTAAAGAACCCTGATAGAGGTCTCATTGTACTTTATCCACAGGTGTATAATTTTTTTTTTCTGACTTATGAAAGAAAAATGTTCAAAACGAACATATTTGTGACTTCCTCGGTTAGACATTTTCATTGAAATAAACACTTTCAATATAGAATTTAAAGATCATTTCAAAATAGAAGATTCAAAACTGGCATTTTTGCTGATTTTTTTCGCATGGTTTAAAAGAAGCATTAAGCTATTTAGTAACGTCCAGTTAGAAATTTTTTGGTCTAAGAAAAATAAGACTTTAACTTTGTTAATGCCCTAGATACACTCTCCCGTTCTTTTCAAAACAAGTCTCAGCATAAGCTGTTTAGTAACGTCCAATTAGACATTTTTTGGTCTAAGAAAAATAAGACTTTAACTTTCTTAATGCCCTAGATTCATTCTCCCGTTCTTTTCAAAACAATTCTCAGAAATGAGGTTTCTCGGGCAAAATTGAACACTTACTAATTTTGAAAAGTTAAAAGACATGTAAACATTTTAATTAATCCTTTTTTCATGTATTATACATCTGCTTTTTTTTTTTTTTTTTTTATTATTATTATTATTATTATTATTATTATTTTTTTTTTTTTTTTTTGTAATTATTAAAAAAAGCTATAGATACCATAATGTTCACAGCTACTAGATATTATTAAGCATTATTGAGCACAGCGATTCTTAATATATACACAAGTATCTTGACAAAGAATCTAGAAATTCTTTAATTTCCATTTTTTAGGTATATCCCTACCAATCTAGATCCTCGAATTCTCTTTATTATGATTTAAATAAACATATCTATAACTTTACATTCGTTAAATTTATATATTTTGTGTAGTAATAATTTGATAAAAATATGTATAAATAACAAAACGTATTTTTTCTACATGTAATAACAGTTATTGATTAATATTCAGTTTCGTAAAAATTCGAAATTTATTTCTTACCCTCTTGTCAATTGCCAGATACGTACTGTAGAGTAGTTTTGACAATAAATTCACAAATTGCTAATCAGATAAAAAGGAGGTCAGACTCTGAGAAAGGAACCAGTTGATTTTAAGAAGATTTCGCCGAGTCGTCATTCTGTCCAGATGGGTCACACGAATACCTCGTTAACTTGGTCAAGCGAACCTGTTTCCCTGACGTTTTGAGTGAAACATCCAAAAATTTGTACTTAAGGCACTTTAGAAACTCTCAGACGCCCTTTCTGATATTGAACTTGAGATACTGAAATTGTCAAAATGAACTAAGATGAAGGTTAAAGAGCACCTATAGTACTCAAAATATAGAATTCTCAGCACAGACTGACCTCATATAAGCACACATATCACTAACCTCAATTAAAGGTCATTAAATTGTTATGATGTGCTTTTATGCTGATGATGAATTATTATATAACTAAAAACCTAAAAGGAGAAAAAAAGTTTTTTAAAAAAAAAAAATACAGAAGTGCTGCTTTCACTCGGATCTACTTATCTGAATATTTTACTGACTGATATATTTACTGAATTGTACTGGAGATCTTTGAAAAAAGTTTGAATTCTAAAATAATATTTCTCTTTCTATTTTGTTTGATTAACGAGTCTATAACAATACGATAAGTTGTATTATTTTGTTTTCCTATTTTTTGACATGTTCCTATGATGTTATGGCCGTGTCTTATCGTAGGAGAAGATTATGACGTATCTTATCTCATGTTGTGCCAGTATTTCAACAGAATTTGGTCACCTACAGGTATGTACATATGTTATATACAGTATGATGAACATAATATTTACGTTTTTGAGAATATAACAAATCTCACTTATAAGATTGCTTTATAATTATTTGGATTTCCATACTGTAAACTGTTATAAAAATCCCATCCCCTTGTGTACTTCACAAGATAATTATACGTAAGTGTGAAATACGAGCATGCTATATAGGGTTATTTCAGCACCATGCACAGTATCTATACTTAAATTGAAAAGCAAATTACAAATTTTCAAAAAACCTTTCATTTTTCATTATTTATTTAAGCAGCGCAACCATGAAGACAGTGGTATATTTCTTTGCTTTATCTATATCGGTGGCGTTTTGTGAAATCAGTAAGCGTGATTTACTAGAAATCCTCGGGATTATTCATAAAGACCCAGGTTTTCCTACGCTTCCGATGGATACTCAGCTTACCATTGTTGAGTTGGTTGCAGCAGCTGAAAATGGGGTCCTTGTGCCCTATGTAGATGGAAAAGGATTTCTAAACGTTTTGAAGGCTTTGAATGGTGAGTTTTATTTTGTTGTTGACAGTCGTTTGGATGTCTGAGGTATACAAGGACTATCTAATATTAGTTCTAATGATAGGTAATAATATAATCTTATTGTACTTTACATTTACTCTCTTCTTTTGATATATGATATTTTGTTGATTTTATTGATTTATTGATTTTATTAATTTATTGATTTTATTGATTTATTGAACACATGTAACAGTTGGAACATCCATTCAACAGAAAAGCCTCGAAACGTATCTTTTAATGGTAAGATTGGTTAATTTAGACAACAAAAACTCACAAGAAGGCTAAAATTGTATATTCAAATTATATAAAGGACAAGATAGGTTAAGATCCATTTTGGCTCCTGCTTTTGGGTGTCTTTTAGAATGATGCAACAGTTTATCAATAAAAGCCTGTTGTCACCCCTGCCACAAAATGATCATTGGTTCTAAGTTACGGGATACACAGAAGTCAAGGAAGGTCAGGATATATGTCAATTTCCGAATTTTCTCATTTTTATGGAAATTTTCATCGATTTTACGGCACATTTCGTTTCAGAAAACATAGAGCACAAGCTTGCCTATCTACCAAATTTATACATTTCATACACTAGTATCAGAGGCATCTTTTATATAAAAATCTCAGATAGGCAAGCTTGTGCTCTATGTTTCCTGAAGTGAAAAGTATCTTAAATTTCACAAAATTCCAACAGAATTAAGGAAATTCGGGAAAATGTCCTACTTCTGCACTTTTTTGTGGCCTCCGTATAAGCTTTGAATCAAAATTAGTGCTGGTTTTAAACAAGCATCATTTTAAGTTCTTAACTGCAAACTATTAAAATTTTAACTGTGTTCTGATTTTTGCATCAAATAAGGGGCCATATTCGGCCGTTACCATACCTTGTCCTTTAATTTATTCGCATCAATTAAGATAATTCAGTCTTTGGTTAAACCGCTGGCCATTATGCTACAGTATAAATAAAATGTTTCACTTTACAAAGCATATGAATATGGAGTACAGTAAAACAACCACACCATCTACGACTACAACAACAACGACAACCACAACAACTACAACAACACCTAAACCACAAGTTGTTGGAGTAGGCAGTGTAAGTATTTATAGGTATCTATATTCCTTAAGAACAGGTTGTAGGAGTAGGTAAAGAGGGTATTTACGGTAATTTTATCCAACGTTTGCAAGAATATACAGTGTATTTACAGAGTTATTTCAAAACTCCTAAACAACAAGTTGTAGAAGTAGGCAGTCTAAGTATTTACTGTAATTTTACAACATCTTTTTCAAAGTTTGTAGAAGAGGTTAATAAATGTATTTACAGCAATTGTACAACTCCATAAAAACTTATTATAGGAAAAGGCAGTGTGAGTATTTACAATTCCTAAGCCACGGGCTGTAGGCATACAGTGTAAATATTTACAACTCATTTTTCAAAATATGTAGGAGAAGGCATTAAACATATTTACAGCAATTGTGCAATTGTGAAAGAATTAGGCAGTGTAAGTATTTACACTAATTTTACAGCTCATCATTCAAAGTTTGTAGTAAAACGCAGTGCAAGTACTAACAGTTATTTTAGAACTCCTTATCTTAAGTTTGTCGGAATAGGATGTGTACGTATTTACACTAATTTGCAACCCCTTATCCAATTCTATACAATAAGGTAGTGTGATTGACAACTACATCCCAAAATTTCGTGGTAGTTGTCAGTATAAGTATTTACAGTATAATTTTACAACCCCTTATCCAAAGTTTTTAGGAAAAGGGCAATTTAAGTCACAAGACAATACGAGAAGTCACTGAAGTAACAGTTAATGTATGCAACTTCCAACACACTCTCTGGAACAGTGTTAAAAGTTAGCTGTTAGTGTCTGTGACTAAAGTAACAATGTCAAAGTCACAATTAAGCTGTTGAATTAAAAATTTAATATGTTACTTTTAAAATGTTTAAACAACTGCGAAGCAAGGGGATGTGAAACACAAGCTATTATAGTAGTAAGCATGAATATTAATATAAAAAGCACATTTTGAACACATTTGAGTCGGCAATTCACCCCATATATGGCAGAATTGAAAAAAAGACAGTTAAAATACTTAATTATAAGTTAATTTGAATGATAATTGTAAGTATGTTTGATTCTATATAGTTACCCCATATTATAGTACATGTGCTACTTCCTATATATCCTTGGAGTTTTCAGTATTATAATTCTGTCAAAATGGTGGGAAAATCATAATTTTCAGTTCAAATTTATTAAAATGCTCAGGAAAACATATTCCATGAGAGGTTCATAAAACAGATAATCTTTGTTAGGGGATAATTATTACTGGTATATGATCTTCTTCAGGGCCCGCTTGGTAAAAGGGACACTGATAACTACCTTCAACATTCCATACTGAACAGCCCAGCATTCCAGCACCTACCAGAGGACAAGAAACAGATTATCCACCGAGTGTTGGATTCCGTCAGTAATCATCATCTAACACAAACCATATTCCTACAACAAGGCATAGACTTCATCCATACACTAAGTAAGAATAAGATCTAAGGAAAAAATATCAGAAGGTCTGATAAACGATATGTACCTTTGCTTTTTTTAATGAAATACTGTAAAATATAAAGTAAAGGTAAAATATAATTTTATTGAATGTTTACCTCATCATCCTTTGGATATCAGTCAATGGTATTTTTATCATATTCCCCACTCTGTGTTCCAACGCCTTTTGATAATATGTAAACAAATAATTACTTTTACGTTTTAAAAATGCAAGTTCAGTTAAAATCATATTTAATGTAACAATAATAATCAGTGAAATAAATTTAATTACTTTAAGGAGATATATTTGCTTTATTTCAATACATATTGTCTATTTCTTAGCGTTGTATGATTTTAAATTGTTATTCGGCATACTGTAACCCAAAGTGGAAAAGGAAAAAAAAAATGTTTATTAAAGGAACTTCATTTTTCCACAGGGCTACCAGCTGATCTTGCTCATAAACTCACTTTACTCATTATGCATGTAAGTAACATTTGTATTGACAGGGAAAAATATAAAGGTTTCAGTCAGCAATTATTAAAACTTCTTTCAAATATGACTAAAATTGAATTGAATGAAAATGCTTTTTTCTTTCATGCAAAACTTTAAGAAACAAAATTGGAGGATAGGAAAAGTGCCCGATCACTAGGAATACGCTATGATTGGTTCAAACACATTCCTTGTTTTCTTTTATCATCCTCTGTGAAGATTTCAAAATTTGTTTGTGTGTGTATGTTGAAGGTTATTATTATAGGGTCAATCCCCATAAATCCATCAAAAAGATAGTGATCTCATGAACCCGATTTGATTTGTATTGCAGGAACTTATGCTTGAGGGACATGGCACAAAATTTGAACACAAGGGCGACGACGATAAGTAATGATGTATTTAAAAAAATAAAATTAAAATTTAGAATGGTGAAGATAGTAAACTTTCTATTGCAATATGTCGATATTAGAAATGTTCTTTATAAGGATAATTATCGGAGTTTCATTTTATAAGTCATTTTTTAGAAGTCATTTAAGATATATTATGATGTTGAATATGGTAAAGTTAAAATGTTTTACTGCTACAAATTACACATTTTGGAATGCTTGATGAGTATATATTTTTTTATCCATTTCAGGTAAATGATATAGCAGCGCATCATTATTTATTGTATAAATTAAAAGTTATGGTATATAGATTCCTGGTTTATCAATTTTTATGGGGGTTAATCTGACTGTTTAATATGACCCACGTACTAGAATAAAGAGGCTCTATTTTATTCCTTCCTACTAAGAGGTAGCAAGAAAAACATTTTCTTTTCCTTGTTTTTTTTAATTAAAGACACATAATTGAAATAACTAATAGCCCCGGAATCCAGTACCATGACACATCAGATGGTTTAATGAGATTTGTGAAGTAGTTTTCTTTGTTGGTTACTTAAATTTGTAGTAGTCCGCATTATTAGTATTGCTCATCTACCAAGCTGAAGAGAAGTTAACATTTTTTTGCCATCGTCAGTTTCTTAAAATAAAAAGCAAGTTTGCAAAAAGAATCCCGGTGAAATATGAAGATAACGAACATTACTCAAGCTCATTGGAACAATACAAAATTTGGAGCAGAGCAAACACGGATCTCTAAAAACATCAAGGATAGGATCAGTTGCCATGGAGGAGTGAGCATGAAAAACGTCAATCAACATTCGACGTAATGAAAGATTGTATTTTCTAACAAGGTTATTGTATCGACCATAGAATTTTCGAAATATTGACTTTATATGGGACTGTTAACTGTTAATATCCTTGTATCATCAACTGATTCGTCAATAGCTTACCTCGTTTTAGAAATCAACAAGTTGTATCATCAACTTATTCGTCAATAGCTTACCTCGTTTTAGAAATTGTTTAAGGAGATATATTGTACGTAGAGCATGCTCTTGCATATCGAATAAAATGTGAGACATAAGTTCCATATCCAGGTGATAATGGTATATTGCTACATAAGAAAGGTAAGTTGACGATAGAAAAGTTGAAGTCATCATGTTTTAATATCATGTTGTAAGGTTGCTATTGATGTCTTTTTCTAGAAAATATCCATATATGAAACAGATGTGCCAATCTCTGTAATGTCTTTTATTTCGAGTTCAAAGGGATATATACCGTTCACGGTAGCTCAGTCGGTAGAACGCTTGCTTCGTGATCGAGAGGTCGTGAGTTCTAATCTCGGCCGCGACTGACCTAAGTCGATAAAAAAATGGGTAGCAACTGTTTCTTCGCCATGCGCTCGGCACTTTGAAGTGAAAGTTGCGGGTCCTTCGGATGAGACCTTAAAAACCGAGGCCCCCTCTCACGGTAGGCGTTGGCAAGATAAAGATCCCTCACTGCTCAATGGCCCTGAGTGCCGAGTAGAGTTCAAAATTTGAAGCCCTTCACCGGTATATGGTGACGTCTCTATATGAATGAAAAATTCTCGAATGGGACGAAAAACAACATATAATCAATTAATCAAAGGGGTATATCGAATCAACGTAGGAATGAAAATATTTTCTTTATAAATTGAGGAAACGTCGTCGATATATCTAAATGTCGAATTGAAGGGCGCAGCAATAGACCTGAGGTTCTTCAGATTCTTGTCATTAGAAAGTTTCTGAATAAATTCTGCCTCATTTGAATACAAAAATAGGTTTGCTAATAACGGGGTGCAAATAGTACCTATGGGGAACACAACAGATTCTTGGAAGAATTTATCTTAAAAAAAAAAAAACAACAACAAACAAACAAACAAAACAAAAACAAACAAAGATCTTGTCATTAAGATATGCCAACATCTTTTACTATCAACTTCGGAGTACTTTTATTCACAATCAGATTGTTTTAAAACAAAATAATTTGCAAATGACTAATGACAAAACAAGGTATGTAAATTTTTTTTAAGTCCCATTTTTATTGAAACAGAAGATGCTTATTATGTCAAAAATCCTGAACTTTAATTCTCGTGTGGAATGGTTGTATAAAGCACTGAAAAGTCGTAAGTTTTGATGAATTTGATTTTGGAAAAAAAAATTAACACTGATTTCAAATTTTCTAAAAGTTCCTTGGTATATGCACATTTTGGAAATAAAAACAATGCTATTTAGGAAAAGCGTGAGGAAAAGATAAGATGCATTTTTGAATGAATGTTCTTTGTAGTACTTAGTTAAACTGTACTTAGTCAATTTTCGACGACGTATTATCAATTAACAATAGTTACTTCCATTCAATCCAACTTATACCCATAACTCCCTTTCTAAGAAGGAAATTCTTCTAAATCATATTTCAGTTTTGAATATTTTTAATTCCCCAGCAACCGAAATGAATTTGAATTACAATATTTATATTGGATTCCGAAACTTCATAAAAATCCTTACAAACAAAGATACATAGCAGGTTCCAGTAAATGTTCTACCAAGCCTCTTTCTTTACTCCTCACTAAAATATTAAAAGCAGTGAAGGGAAACTTCACGAGTACTGTGCAACAATATATTCGAGAAATGATGTAAATCAGATGTGGATACTTAAAAATTCTAAGGAACTTTTGGAAAATTTGAAATCACAATTTTTTACCAAAATCACTGACAGGTTTTTCTTTTAAAAATGGAACTCGTCAATTTACTTACCTTGTCATTGGTCATTTGCAAAATTATTTTGTTAAAAAAAAATTCTGATAGTACACACAGGTACTCTGAAGTTGATATTAAAAAGATGCTTGAGTATCTGATTGACAATATCCATGTGGTTTTTTGAGACCAAGTCTTTCAACAATCTGTTGGAATTCTAATTAGTACCAATTGCACCCCGTTGTTAGCAGACCTATTTTTGTATTCATATGAAGCAGAATTTATTAAAAATCGTATACATGAGAAAAAGAAATCTCTTGTTGTGGCCTTATGTATCGACTACGTATTATCAATTAACAATAGTTATTTCCATTCATATGTCGACACGATATATCCCAGTGAGCTTGAATGAGGATCCCACATAGTCTGACACATCTATTTCATATTTGGATATTTTACTAGAAAAAGACGTTAATTGTAATCTACCAATAAAGCTTTATGATAAACGTGATGACTTTAATTTTGCAATCGTCTACTTCCCTTACTTATACAGCAATATCCCTTATCACCTGCATATAGGGTGTATATCTTTTAGTTGATTCCATACACAAGAGCATGTTCTACTAATGAACAATTTCTAAAACGAGGTAAGTTATTGACAAAGAAGTTGATAAAATAAGAATATCAACAGTCTCGTTTAAAATCTATGGTCGATACAATATGACCTTGTCAGCAAATACTATCTATCATTAAGTCATATGCTGACTGACGTTTTTCATACTAATTGTTAGGCCATTATTTGTACACTGAATTGTCGACGGTTCCCGTATTTACCGATCATGACAAGGAGCACATGGCGAGTGTGACAGGTCGGAAGGGATGCTCACTCCTCCATGGCACCTGATCCCATTTCTGATGTGTTTGGAAGTCCGTGTTTGCTCTGCTCCCGATTTGTATTGTTTTTATGAACTTTGAGCTTAAATACTGTTCGTTATCTCCGTATTTCATTCCATTAATATGTCAACTTGATATATCCGACTGATATATCCTAAAGAGATTGAAATAAAGGATACCACAGATTCTGACACATCTGTATAATATTTGGATATTTTACTGGAGAGGGACGTTAATGGTAACTTGTAATAACCAAGCTTTATAATAAACGTAATGACTTAAACTTTTCAATCATCAACTTCCCTTAATTATCTAGCAATATACCCTTATCACCTGCATATGGGGTTTATGTCTCTCAGTTGATTCAAACGCAAGAGCATGCTCTACGTACGACCAATTTCTAAAACAGGGCAAGTTATCGATAAAAAAGTTGATGAAACAAGAATGTCAACAGTCTCGTTTAAAGCCATCATATGATGCATTTCGCAAGTTCTATGGTCGATATAATGACCTTGTCAGCATTAAGTCAAATGTTGATTGACCTTTTTCATACTATTTGCTGGGCCATTATTTACACACTGAATAGTCTACGGATTTTCTGTTTTTCCCGATCATGACAATGAGCACACGGTGGGTGTGACCGGGCGGCAGGGGATGCTCACTCCTCCATGGCACCTGGTCCCACCTTTGATGTTTTAGAGGTCCGTGTTTGCTCTGCTCCTGATTTGTATTGTTTGAATGGCCTTTGAGCTTGGTTACTGTTCGTTATCTCCATATTTCCTTAACACAAAAAATACCGAAATTATTGCAAGACAATGAGAAACATATAAATAAGAATAGATCTTCTTAGAAAACCGATCTTGGTTTAAGACATGTTTTTATTATCAAACTTTGAATAGAAAGAAATGTTCGGATAACAAAATCAATCAAGTTTAATTGTCATCTCCCTCGGGAGATGACATATTAAGTTTGAATTCGGAAGTGAAGTCCTAGTGTAAGCTGCCATTGATAAGCTGGTGGTCTGGCAAAGGACCTGATGATGACAACGATTTCTAAATATAGAGATGTAAACAAATTAACCAAAGTCTGTCTTATTATTAAACAAAATGGTCCATCTTAAAGTAAAACTACACAGGGTTCATTAAGGGTAATAGAGGTAGGATCACTTGGGTAGTGGTGGGTCTTCAAAATACACATAAACATTGTATCTAGGCTATTGCGTAAAACGATGGTCAGAATACACAAAACATGGCATATTGAATGTATAGGCCAAGGCGTGGATCCAAGATTTACTGACGAAAGAAAACAGTGAAAATATTTAAATAACAACTAACATTTAATGCATACATACAATGGCAAATACTTTACTTTTATGTGAACTTTAGTAAATCGATGATTACTGCCGTATATGGAAAAATAAAACAGAAATTATTAAAAAAAATAAATTTCGAAGAAAAGAAATTTTACCTAAAAGCACAGTTTAGGCAGAAGCATAAATGTCTCTGATTTAAGTAACTCAGTGCTGCAGGCCTTGGAATAAAGATCATAAAGAATCGTTATGAGTATTTTCTCGGATGTGTGCACTATTCTTTTTTATTTAACCCCCCCCCCCCCCCCCCCGAAGAAAAAAATTATGAAAAGATACAATTTTCTTTACCTGGCTCAGATTTTAAGAATTAATAAACAAAGCAACTGTTATCATTTATGCTATTCTAATTTGCGTTTTTTGTCAATGAGAAAAAGTATAAAAAAAAAAATCACTCCTCGTATTCTTATTATAAAATGTGTGTCTCATGGAACAGCCTATAAAATCGATGTTGGTAGATTGGGTTCTTTTCAGTGTGCAAATACTTAATTTTAAATGGTAACGTTTCAATTTTATTACCTTACTATGCATGATTTTTTTCCTAGGAGCGTATACATGTACTTACATGTATATTATACATAATATAGCGTTAGAACATGAATCTGCATGGGCAGCGAAGGTCATGATGCAGGAGTGTCTCAATTTTTCCCTGGATGTCCCAGTGGCTCGATGGCCAAGTCACTTCAGAGGATACGATTAAGGAAAATAAGGAAAGTTTTTGGAATTAATTGAGGTTCAGATTAATTTAAGTTGGCGCTTTAAAACTCTTTTGCTGCCGTAGTAGGCGGCTAAGAACTAAAGTCAAAAGGAAGGCTAAGTTTTTATCCATCTCCTTTCGGAATAATTGTTAAAGCTATATATGGCGTATCTGAGCTAAAAAAAAAAAATAAATAAAAATACGAGATTGAGTGTAGCTTAACATGATATATGTTATTTACGTTGAAATTACATTTTTCACCGATTTTGAACTTGAATAACCTCATCTTTCCATAGTTAGATTTATTTTTAAAAATTTTAACTTTGTCTGTTAATTAAATGCGGAATTGGTAAATAAATCGATTATTGTTTAAATTTCTAATATCTTTGAAATGTGATTGATTTAAATTACGTGATTTACAGGAAAGTCCTATTTTTATATAAAGTAATAAAACAAATAGAAAGATCTTTTTTAATTTAGGTAGTCTGAACTTATAAAAAAAATCGCCATATATGACTTTAAATAATTCTTACAAATATTTTTCAGTGGTTAGATTTTTTTATACAAAATATATTTAAAATGAATACAGCATATTTATAACAGGTAAAATAATACAGGCACGTAGCATCAGAAGGGTCGCCCCCTTCCACTTTTTCCCCCAAACATTGAAAAGGCGCAATCTTGCCCTCTCTTCCACCTTTTGTTGCAGTATGGTACGTCAAATCATCTCATGGGAATGTATTATAATATAAAATATGTTTGTTGGAAAAGTTGTATTCCCTCCTTCCATGAAATGAAATTGTTGTGTTTGGATAGCCCCTTTTGTCCCCTGTCAAAGATAGTTCAGATAATTCGTCAATTTTTTTTTTCTGTCCTCCACCCCACCCCCACCCCCAATTTTTCAAAAACGATACTACTGCCTGTAATGGCTGAGAAAATAATGTAACATTCCACTGTTTATTCTGTGACATTAATGAAGCCAAAGAGATGACATTTCAGGCTTTTTGGAAAGCCAAACTTGTAGCCCAATTAAATTTTAAAACTGAAAGCTGAGCGAAAACAAATCAATGGAAATATTGATCGAGGCAGGATCATGCCACGGAGGAGTAAGCATTCTCTGTCGACCAGTCACACCCGCTGTGAGCCCTTTGTCTAGATCGGGTATAAAGAGTAATCTGTAGGAAATCAAAACAAAACTATTGGCCTTACAATTTGTTTAAAAATGTCAGTCAGCAATTGACAAAACGACAGGTTGTATTTGCAAAGAAAGTCATTGTAAGATTATAGAATTTACGGAATGTTGGCTTTAGCCAAGATTATTTGAAACACTTTTATCATCAACTTATTTGTCAGTAGCCAGTCTATGTAGGATATTGATCGCACGCAGAACATGCTAATGCATTCTGCATATTGAATCAACTGGGACAGATATCAACATATACGTGTGATACTGATATATTGCTACATAAATAAGGAAAGGTGACGATAGAAAATTTGAAGTCGTCGAAGTTGTCATAGAGTGTACTTACTATGCCATCAATGCCTTTTTAAAGTAAAAGATCCAAATATGCAACAGAGATGTCGCACTTTGTGATGTCTTTTATAATTCAATTTCAGTGGTATATACCGATTCAACGTGTGAATTAAAATTTATATTGTAAATTGATACAACAGATATCGAAATGTTGAAGTGAAGGCCACAGCAAAAGATGAAAACCATTTTCAAATAAATGTAAATTAGGAAGTAATTTGCAAAATTACATTTTGATTTTTTTTTTTTTTTTTTTTTGGTGAAAAATAGGGCCCAGAACGTACTACTAAGGCCAAAATGTAATTATGCAAATAACTTTCTGATTTACCTTTATTTGAATTTTTTTTCCTCTTTTAGAAAAATAATTTAGAAAGATATTTTTATGTAAACAATTTTAACTGAATCATTCGTTTTGCAAGATTTTACAATTAACTAAATTTTGGTCTTAGTCGTTCTGTTGCAAAACGGGCCCAGGTCTTCAAAGATAAATATTTCAATGAGGAATTCCAGTATATTTTCAATATCAATTTCAGAGTACTTGTGCGTACGTTTAGGTAGAATCACAACGATTTTAACGAAGTTATTTTGCAAATGACCAATCATAAGATACGAAAATTTCCGAGGTCCATCTTTATTGAAGCAGTTGTTTTATATATTTATGATATTAAAATGAATGTTACATGCTCACAATAAATCCTACTCAACGTGGCCAGTTGAATTAAACATACAGCTATATCTTGCTCTTACAATAAAATGCTATATCATGTACCATGGGCTTGTGTCGGAAACATGAAAGATCAAAGGGTCAGGGAATCTAACACTTCAGTGACACTTCTATTTATTTTCTAACTGAACAATTTGGTTAAAAGCGTAATTACTCAAATCGTTTAAAATAAATTCAATCTTGCATGTTTAATTGCCTTATACTTAATTAATCAGATAAAGAAAAAAAAATATTTTCTGAAGCACTTCCTTTGTTTCCCCCTTTCAGCGGGGTTTTAAAACTTTACAATTTTGTAGGATATTAAATTTCAAAACATTTGTAATTTCTGTCATTATTTTTGTTTGATTCATTGTTTAAAGGACATATGGAATATTATATACGCTTTAAGCTGAGTGCATCTGTAATATCACTCTTTTAAATTTACATTCCATAGTCCTTTTGTGTATATGTATATATGTAAATTAGAGGCATAAATATATGACTATGAAGCTTAAGACGCCACAGTTATATCAACTAACTCTTCAAAAGAAAAGAATTTAATTGAAAAATAACTTTTATAACATAAAACCATATATACGAATATTTCGAACAAGAACTGGTATGCAGGTATGGTTTCTTCATGGCCTAAGTATGCTAAAATCAATACTTAATGAATGAATCAAAGGCAGTTTTGCGTCATCGTGTTCATCATATTATTATTTCTGATCAAGCCTGTTTAAGCAATTTATGATACAAAGAAATAACAAAAAAATGATTTATACCTTTAAGTAATTTGCCAAATAAACATCTTTATCTATCAAATTCCTTAACATTTACAATAGCTCACTCTGGACTAATCAATTTTGCTCTGCTCCTGATTTGTATTGTTTGAATGGACTTTTGAATTTGAATACTGTTCGTTATCTCCATATTTCATTTGAAATAAGTAAATTTTACAAATTGTGTGCCATGTTTTTCTCACATACAAGTAAAGTTATGAGTCATGCACATTTGGAGTTCAATATCTCTAATTTTTACCATTCATTGCCCGGACATCTGAGAATTCTGTTCTTTGAATAAGACGTCACAACATATGTTCTGAAATCTGCTATTAACAATTCTATCACTGTAATTTGCGGAACTTCTCATGTTTGGGAATTTTTTCAAAAGTGGATCTGGTGCAGTCATTAACAATATAAATGACTAAGTAGTGATTGGGACAAAGAAATTACAAGTACACTGTTTCAAAGACTGGATGATTGCCAAAATTCATTAGAAAGAATTTTGTAACATACTAGTCAGATACAAGATTAAAATTTTGGGAATGTCCTTTTCAGTTTGTAAGTATCTTATACCGTAATTTATTTTCCATATGACGCTTGATTTATTGTTGTTTCAAGGCATTAAAAAAATCTAACATCTTTATCTATCATACCTTAACATTTACAATAGCTTACTCTAGACAAATCAATTTTGCTCTGCTCCTGATTTATATTGTTTGAATGGACGTTATAAGCTTGAATACTGTTCGTTATCTCCATATTTCGTTTCACTTGAAATAAGAAAATTTTACAAATTGATTTCAAAGTATGTGAAAAACCAATTAAAACCAATTTGACATTTCACTGTCTTTCAGTGGTCATGGATAAAAACAGAAAAATAATCATCAACAATAACAAAGACGAACTAAAGATTGTTTCAAATTGGGGTCAGGTCAAACGGAACGTCAAACTCTCAGACGTGGTGGACCCACTGATAGAGAAAGGACTCATCACGCCCGACCAATGGATGGACATCAAAAATCGACCAATCAGCGAGCCAGAAAAGATGGAGGAATTCATGTATATACTTCTGAAACAGAAGTCAGGAGCTCTGGGGATTTTTCTGAAAGCATTAAGAAACTCCGGTTTTCATCATGTTGCCGACGAATTAGAAGGGATTCCTCATAAAGATGGTCTGTATGGAGAATTTTCTTCCATTACTTTTAAATGGAATTCAGTTCAAATTTTATTTAGATTTCAAATATTACTAACCATAACTTACTTCCGCAAGTAAAGGCTTTTATACAGTCAAATGAGGGACATACGCAACGTAGTTTTGAGCTTTTTTCCCCTAATCTCCTGAAATTGAAGAGGTCCAATTGCGTGTGACTCCTTTGATGCTGTGGACCTTTTCTAAAGCAAATTTTGAAGAAATACCGATTAAAGCTGTATGTTTGGCCATTCTTTGTGAATTTTTCATTGAACGTTGATAGTACAATGACTTTTTTTAGTATCTTGAAGAATTATGTTGCATATGACCTTAACCCCAAAATATACCATTAACAAATTTATTAAAGAAATTATATTTTGATTTTTAAAAAGGAAAAATAAAAATTGATACTTGTACAATAAACTAGACAAACCGAGATCCAACATTGTAGATAAACAAACATTTCTATTTTGGGGAAATCATCCACTGCCTTGACTAATTTAAATGCATTGTCCTGATTCTTTTTGTTAAATAAAGCAACAAAACAAAATGAATTTCAAAAATATTTAACCATATGATACCATTTTAAAGTTCATCAATGATATGGACATTGGTATCGATTGATGTTAATTTTACCTCCTTGACTTATGTTTTCTTTGCTTTAATGAATAAGTAATTCAAAGTCTATCAATAAGGTTGATATACTGGTTAAGAATTTATGTTGGTCTCATTTCCCTCTCCTATTTTTTCATTAAAGGTTGTGATCATTCGAGGACACACCCCAGGGTAAGTAGCTTACTTAAAATTTTAATAACTCTCAAATTTTATAAAAGTTGTTATGTAGAGTTAACAAATCGCAAAGATTAAGTATAATATCGATTCTTCACATGCTATTCTATTTGAAATACACATGTACTATATTAAAACATTTATGAAATAATTCAATGATTTTTTATTCTATAGCGATGTATGATTCTATAACATAAATTTCCACTGTCAAGTGCATATGTGAAAGTAATTTAATTTCTGCGTAGGTTCCTGATGTTTGCACAACAGAGACGAATAAAGAAGGGAAAAGTGGGGGCCAAGGTTCTGCCTCATCTTCGAAAAGTACCGACACAGTGCGCCAGGAGGATCTCCACAAAATGAAAGAGGAAATAAAAGACGAATTGCGCAACATTCGTGAAAATTTGGCATCTGAAAGAAAACAAGACAGAGACCAATTGTTGTTGCTTCAGCGAGAACATAAACATTTACAAAATGATTTCGAAAGACTTCGACAACAGAAAAGTGAACTGTCATCGCGTTTGGATGATCTGATGAGTTCTGTTGACAGTTTAAAGAGCAAACTGGAAGAAAAAGAACGTGAATATCAGGAGCTGAAAAGAATAAATAACGGACTGAGAGAAGATTTGATGAGACAAAATAAGAGTAACTCCAGATCCATACAGAAAAAGGACAAAGAGAAAGAGGAAATGGAGAAAAGGTTAGAGAAGAAGGAGGATGAATATAAATTATTACAAGCCATGATGGAGACCTTAAAAAGTGACCACGAGGAGAGGCTACACAGACTTAAAGTCGTAAACAAAGAAAAGGTAAGGTTAGACGGGGAGTACAAAAACGTTCTGTTGGAGAAAAAAGAACTGGAATCTAAGTACCAAGCCCTAAACCAGCAGGTAAAGGAAGTACAAGTGAAGCATACAAAGGAAGTGACGCAACTCCAAGGTGACGTCAAGGATCGTATGTTGAGGATCGAGGAGCTAGAGAGAGACAAAAACGAACTATCACAACAACTAAGCGAGTCCGAAAAAGAAAACGAAGAACTAAAAAAGGAGAACAAGAAACTAGAACAGGATTTACGCCGCACTGAAGGGGATAAGGAAATTCTGCAAACGAGGCTTCGTCAGTCCGACCTTCAAAAGTATACAGTCCCTCCGTTCTCTTCGGTGGCTAGGCATCCAAATTATCCTCCCCAGACAAGAGCCCCGCCAAAGCCTCAATGGAGGTATGTTTCTTTTCACAACTTGTCTTTCATTTATGATTACCGAGTTTTGAAGTTTAAGACCTCTTTTGATATACTACTGTAGAATGTTTCCTATATATACTCAGTATACTTTTCATCGCAATATAACAGACAACTGCCTTAGATTAATATTCATAGCATTAGTGTTCAGCATTTTTCTGAGAGTGTACTATTTGAAGCAAATATATATGTGCAATGTAAAAAGTTTTAATAATACATTTTACACGATTTAATTTTCAAACATTTTGCAGGTTGGGAGCACGTGGCAAACATCACTAAAATTCACGTAAAGATACTAATATACGGTCAGAATGATTTGTTGTAAATATCTGAAATCAGATAAATGTATTTCATAAAAGTGTATCTTCCTTTCACTTAAACACGCACGTCTTTTTCTGTATTGTAGAATTCTCCTTTTCCGTTATGAAGATTGTTCGTTGCAGGACCACATGTCTGCATGGTTTAACAGAGACAGAGAAAGGGACATTGTTGAAATATGCCCTGTTTATCAGCTGTTTATTTAAACATTGAAGGAAATTAAATACATAACCTCTTTTTTCTGCAACGATTGCAGCCGTCATACCTCGTTGAACAAAACAAAGAAATATACACATTGTATACATATTTATATCTGTATGAATTATTAATATAAAGTAGGTGAAAGTATACGTATCATCGATCCGGATGTTAAATGTACACAACTTACATTGTAGGTTGACTCTAAACACATTTTTCCATGTTTAGAGATACAGAAGGATCTAACTAGTTAAAATGTAAATTGTACTCATTGCCTCAGATAATGTTTGAAGCAATTTGGTTTTAACTGTAAGAAATAAAGGAGAAAATATTCACTTGGTGTAAATATTGGTCAATTGCTCAACAATCATATTGTTAATTTTGTGATGTACACAGAAGAAATATAACAAGTTTTAGAAAGTCTGGAATACAAAATATTGTCTAATAATAGATACCCAGCTAAAAAAAAAATGTACCAGGTCTAAGTAAGGGATGCATCCTTGCTTTTTACTACACAAGAAATACTTGTAAGGAAGAAATATTCGGTTACAGAATAGAAATAAATCACATGTATAATTTTTTGTTACTATGTCAATTTACATATTTTTTTCTTAAAAAATAAAATAAATAAAAAAAAAAAGAATAATAATAAAATTTAAAAAAACCCATATTTAAAAAAAGAAACAATACCAATATAAGTTATATAATATATGTCTACACTGTTTGAAAAGTTGATAATTCAGTTTCCCTTCAACTTTACGAGACTTTAAAAGAAGAAACACGTATAACACAATATTTGACAATGTGCACAATTAATCCCAGTATGTATTATTACTAAGCTACATAAATTTAAGTCATTCTTTTCCTTTAAAGAATTTTCATCTTCCAGATAAAATACATGTATGTACCAACAAATCCTGCTACAATACTATGAAAATGGTTGTGACATTAAGATTTCACAAATTCAGTGCATTGCCATAGGCGTCGGAAGCAAATTGAAAGTGGGGGGGGGGGGAGGCTAAACCAAAGGAAAAAGGTAAGCCCCAATTTCCAATGCCTATATTATGTCTATCTTTGAAAAAAGAGTGGGGGAGGGCTAAGCTAGCCCCCCTAGCCCCCCCCCCCCCCCCCCGGTTCCGACGCCTATGATTGCTTGGCTAGTCAAATTCGGGGGCGTATACATATAGTAATTTGAGTCGTAATTATTAAAAGCTAGATTCCCTTGTTTCAATCGCCAAATGAATTGTCCTCTACAAAAATTTAGAATTTTTCAATTTAAATTTGTATATGACAATTAAATAGTCATAACACCAAATTCTCTATTTTAATAAAAATTTGTGGGAAGATAGAATGAATAAATTAATAAAAGAAAAAAGAGAAATTGAAATTAATAGATTTTTTTTTTTTAATTTTTTTTTTATTGCCCCATCACATGTCCAAGTATATAATAGTGCCAGGGTTGGGGCCCTGGGTTCACTAAGTAATATACATAATACACATATATATTACACAATCATAATGTGACAGGACATTTTTTTCACATATCATTCACACACCATTCGCTACATAACATGCATATGATTATATTTATAATAATATTTAACAATCTTAATATAATCAGTGAAAAGTTGATGTACATCTGTAACTGCATTGTTTTTTCAAATATATTAATCATATTAAAACATTATCAAATTCCATCGTTTTTTAAAACTGTCCATTTCCCCATTTTTCTTATAAATATATTTTTCACAATTAAAATAATACATAACCTCTTGTTTGACCCTCTCAAAAGATGGTACACATTTTTTGCATCTATTTCTATAAATATGCTTTTTTATTATACATACTACTAAATTAAATATATTGTTATATTTATAATGTTTTCCGAACAAAACATCAACTTTGTTTAGAGATATATCAACTCCAAACTGTTCTTTCATCCACATGATCCAATCCATTACTTTTTCCCAAGTTTCTGCAACACACTCGCATACCCAGAAGAAATTAATAGATTTTTATCTGAAATAAATGACAAACATGCCACAATGGACTTAAAATCCCAGCATGTTCAGTCGGCTTAAATAAAAGTGTAGTTTGACCACACACGTTAAATACGTTCTCTCTCCTTCTCTTCTTGGTGGAATATACAATGTAGTCCGAAATGTGACCTGTCAATGATTTAATATTTTAAAAGTGATCCGTTTAAATTATTTTTATTCGCAGGAAAAAAATGGAATATAGCGAATGATTCCTTTGCCTGTCCCAATTAAAATCGATTCTAAAAAGTTCAAATTAAAATCTGAAACCTTGAGATAAATTTCAATCTCTTAGGAATTGGGAAATTAAAATAAAACATACATATATACACCCTTGGTCCAATGATATTTTTTATTTTCTTCTTTCATAAATTATATTTATATGTTTATTATACGATAACGCGGGTAAGATTTTTTTTTTAAATAAAACGTTTACCTGTTTACGTTACTTTTTGGATAAATGTATGCTAGAAGCATACTTAATTTATGAAGGAAGACAAATAAAAATATCATTGGGTGGGGGGGGGGGGGGGGGGAGACCACAAGCACCTGTTTGGTAATATTCGGGAAACACTTAAAAACGTTAATTAATATACCAACGCCGAGCAAAAATTTACTTCTCGTCCAAATTTCTAGATCCGCGCCTGTAGAATGATCTAAACGTGCTAAATCAAAACATATTGCTCTTTGTGACTTTTTGATAAAATATTCGTCCTGTGGCGTATTTAACATGCTTTTCCTTCGTCTTAATCGTAACGCGTCGGGTAGGTCGATCGGACAGGTCGATCCGCTCGCCTCTCCTTCTTACTGATGATGATGTAAGGGGACTTAAGCAGGAAGTGGTACCTGATATGATGTAAGCGGCCACGTTTGTAAACTTGTTTTATGAAGAACTTCAAGTTCAAGAAGTATAGGATGCGTTCGACCCCGTCTAATTCTTTTGTGACATTTGCAATTATTTTAAATATATCTGCTTCGATTTCAATTGTTTTACTGAACAAATGGATTTACACGGTTCACGGATTTCCAAATGTCAGTCTGACTTGTCTACATTTCATCGTGACAACACTCGGACTTTTCGTCTGTCAGAAACTCGATATTTTCCAGCCCAAAAGTGTTCCTATATCTAAAATGATACCACTAGCCTTGACATTTTGTGGTTTTGTGGTGTTTACAAATTTATCATTGGAGTCAAACACAGTTGGGACCTATCAGCTAATTAAGATGCTGACGACGCCGTGTATTATGGTTATACAGACCTTGTTTTACAGTAAAAACTTCTCCACTAGTATCAGGTTAACAGTAGTAAGTAGTACTCCTAGTCTGTAGCAAACATTTGATTACACTTCAATAAAAGATAACTTTAATAATTTGTGAATTGAAACTATTTAGCTTTACATTCGACTGCAAATTTGATGGTGTGCAGAATTTTCAGTCATTCATTTTGGAAGTCCTTTTGACAAACAAAAACAATGTTGGTTGCATATTACAAAGTTTTGGCATGTTCATGCACCCATCTCAATCTGGACCTGAGCCAAAGGCTCTTGTGAGCCTCTCTGATCAAACTCAAAGAGTGTCTGAATTGAATAACTCATGTCACTTTCTCTGAAGAGTCAATTTGAGAGTCTTGCCTAACTATTATTATATATACTCATGTTATTCCATTCGTTTTCTTTGAAGAATCGACCAGGTTCAGAGACATTTAGGATTTTACCTCTCTCTCTCTCTCTCTCTCTATATATATATCAGGTATATATTCAGGGCTCGAAATAATTGATGGCCCGCTGGTCTAGGGCCAGTGAATTTTCAATCTGGGCTAGTACATTGCAGAGGACGTGTGCCCCTTGGGTCAGCATTTTTTTATGCATAATAAAATTCATTCACAGTCAGGTTAGTTAATTTGACAGGGTTGTGTGTCCCATCTTCTGCTGCTTCTTGTTTTGTTAAATTGTACTTCTAAGTATCACAATATAAAAAAATATTACTATTATTATTATATGGTTTTGGGCCAGTCTTTTTAAAATCTACTGGGCCAGTGGGACAGTGAAAGTACTAAGCTGACCAGTAAAAATTTAAGGTGATAACCCAAGTGACCAGTAAACAAAAATAATTATTTCTAGCCCTGATATATTCATTCACATTATTCTATTTGAATTCCTGAAATCTTTGCAAATTTTAAACATAAAATGCTTTATATCATTAAAATCTGTTTTATACAGGTAATGACGTAAACGTGAACAACATCAAACTTATTCAATTCACGAATTGAATAACATGATTATGCCATGGTTCCAAGTAATTAGTATTCATAAAAAATAGGTCAAAGGTTATGTAATGCTGACATTTTTTATTCTTCTTATGTTATTCTTATGTTAAACACTTGCCTAATATTATGGACTTACCTCTCAAAGGTCAAAGAATATTTGTATATTGGCACTTTGGAATGTGAAAGTAGGTCAGAGGTCAAGTTTAAAGGTCAAGAAATTTAGTAACCCTGGTATTTTAAAAAAGCCATTCTTGCAAGCAAAATATCAAAACCTTATCTCTAACACTGTTCTCAAGACATAAGGTGTAACAGATAGACAGACAGACAGCTAAACAGATGCTTGGTGATTTAAAAGTGATCCCTAAGTGACATAAGTGTTTCTAGATCTGCTCTGCAGGTGACACAAAAATAAAAACGATATATATAGTATATTCATGATATTTGAGAGCAGCATAATCATCCATTTTACATTTTTTTTTTCAGGTTCCAATAGCTGTAGGTGTCACTTTATATTCGTATTACGATGTCAAGTTTAACTTCCTAGGGATATTCTATGCTTCTATAGGAGTAGTTGTAACATCGTTATACCAAGTGGTAAGCTCTGGTAAATCTGGTACCATATTATTTGACATGTGAAGTGCAAAATCTTATGACCAATGAATATATGGTCATTGTTTTATTATGTGTAATAGAGAGTTAGTTACTTTTCCATATTAATTTTTGAATTAATATCACTGGAAACTGGAAATTCTGCAGTTATCAGAAATTATTTATTGACATTCTCTATGTAATATACAATGCCATTATTATTTTTTACTCTATACTTCCAGTTTTGAATTGAGAGGGAAAAAATAATGCTTACTTGTAAAAAAAATTAATGCTACATGAATTCAATAAACATATAAATGCACTTAAAGCTTAATTAGTGAATTCATTGTACATATTTTTCAGTGGGTGGGAGAGAAGCAGCATGAACTACAGATAAATTCCATGCAGCTCCTCTACTATCAGGCTCCATTGTCAGCTTTCTTACTTATGTTAGTTATTCCATTTATTGAGGCCCCTGTCTACAGTATACATGGGGCCATGGGACACTGGGATTTGAATACTTTGGTAAGTTGTTATTGGACACCAGCACTGGGCCTCTGCAGATGTAAATCACTTACAACTTAACTATTAAGTAGTAGAATTCTTTCTAAACCTCTTTCAAAATAATGGATTTTTAGATAAATTGATTCAAAGTACTGAGTGTGTAATAATTTAAAGGTTGATGACATGGATATGTTGATAAAATTGATGAATAAATAGTAGGGTTGTCAACAAGTGACCAATTACTCGAGTACGCATTGAAAGGTTTGAATATTGATTACTGAAATTGTTATTCGAGTACTTGGAAAAAAATAAAACCATGCAGTATTTCTTACTTTCTTCATTATTTGTCACACGTACGTTCTAATTCCAGAGTTTATCATACCATTATCTCGGCTACCTAGCGTAGATTTTAGACTCTGTCATGTTTTGACAACAAAGTCAAGTCATTAGCATCTTGGTCAGTGGTGGTGCATTCTTTTGTTTATAGCCAAGGACATGTCATAATTGGAAGGCCCAGTTCAAATTAATTCATTTCAAAATAGTACGGACTCTTTTATTACTACATGTAACTTAAATAAGTAGCAAAAATGCTACCTTCTTCTAATAATATAAATCAGGAAATATTTTAAATACATTTATAAAATGATGATTATGTGAAGCTAAATTTACTAACATGAGAGGGACAAACAATATGTTAAATCATTAATTTAAATAACATATCAAGCGAAGTGACTAGAGGTGTAACAATACAGCGATACATCGATCGTATTGATCGCAAGGTCTCACGATACGCATATTGTATCGCCATGTATGTATCGTGATACAGTACAAGATAATTTTCATTGTCTTATTTGAAAATTCTACATGCAAACTGAGAAATTTTTATGCTGCAAAATTATTGAAAACAAGGTAGCAACAAAAAAAAATACCATGCTAAGACTATAAGTCCACCTATAAATAACTTTGGTTAGGGGTCTCAAGATATTATTTTTATATTTTCTATAACTGTGGAGGTTATAAGCAGAGAATAATATGTAAAAATAACAGTCAATTCAATTGTTGGCAGTTGTATCATGATACATGTTGTATCGCATGACCATATCATGATATGTATCATATCGTTAGGTAGCCTGCATTACTCAGGCCTAGTAGTGACATTAAAGTAACACCAAAAAAAAAAACCCAGCCGTTTTAAAATATTAAATTTTCTGCAAAGCAAAAAATTTGTCAGGCATACAATCTGGTGATATGTATATAACACAAGCAACATAGTTGTCATAGTAGATCTATATGTGTCATGTTGTGTCATTGTAACATTAAAAATTCACGAAAAATATTTACATTCATGTTGATATTGATAATCATTCCAAACTTCCCTTGCATCAAAATTGAATGTTAATCATAATTTTATATATCTTATATTTATTAAAATTATTTGGATATTATCTTTTTCTTTTTACTCCAGACTTAATTAACAATGGCATTTTGATCATGAAATGAAGTTCAGTGACAATGAACAACATAAGATGAAGTAAACCAGCATAATTAATTTGTCATTCATTGGATTCGACAGTTGTTCTCGGTAATTTTAGCAACTCTGTGCAAATTAATAACAATAGCCATGTAAGGTAGATTCTTCAGAGATGAATATCCCTCTGTTGTACTAATACCCACCCATTCTTTTCGTCTATACTCATAGAAAAATAAAGTGTTGAAATTGAGCCAAATTTCACTGTCATCGGATCTAAAACATTATCAAATATGATAGGGTATTCCTCAAAATAATAAACGATATGAAATACTGACACTGTTCTTCAGGTGTCATTTTGTTTCACTCCTGTTAGAAAAATACTAGAATCATTGTAGATTGCTTATAGTTCATCATAAAAAAGTGGCTGCTGACAATAGTTATGGGTCTGTTGGGAATCTAATCCTTAATCACAGTAATTTTTTTTGCTTTAGTGCACATCTGTCCTAATAATGGTTTTTGCAGCCATTGTGAAGCACAGAAGGTGGCATTTTGCTGCACTCATCTTGATTTCCTGTAATATTCAAACTTTATGTGTTAAAATATTTTTTCTTATGCTCACATGAGGATTTAATATGATTAGGTCCCTCTTATACAAAGATTAATGATAAATGTATGTTTAATGTTTCTTTTCAGAGTGTGGTATTTTTATCTGGACTAATTGCATTCTGTGTGAATCTGTCTATATTTTGGATCATTGGCAACACCTCTCCAATGACGTATCCTTTTAACCAAAAAAATCTGATGGGACTGTATCTCCACTTGTCCAAGGACAAAATAGATGTCAGACATTTTCTTTAGATAATTTACCTGATTCAAATGTTACTTCATTCAAAACAGCAAAAAAAAAAAAAAAAAAAAATCTGACAGAGCAGTATTTATTGAAAAAGACTTAAGACATGCAGGAGTGTTAAAAAGTCTTTACCAATGTTAATTTGTACACATGGACTGTAACCCATGAGTCCTTCAAATGGATCCTCTCTTTCATGTCTTGGGAAGCTTGTGGACTCAAAATCCTGAAATTTTACAATAATGAATGTTTCAGTGTATATGAAAGCAGTGAGATAATGGTTATAATAACAGTTTGTGATTCTTCACACTTTTCTCCATAGAAATTCTGACTACAATGACAATAATCAAACCTTAACAGTTTTCAGATACAACATGGCCGGCCACCTTAAGTTCTGTGTTACCCTTCTAATGGGCTGGCTAATTTTTCATGACTCGCTTACACTTATCCAAATGTCAGGAATCATTTTTACTCTAACAGGTAAAATCAAAGATACAGAATTTAAGCTTAACTTGGCATTTCTGCCATATTTCTTGTTAAGGTGCCAGTGTGGCCTATTGTTCCTTAAATTCTGCTAACATTGCAACCTGCAGCTCTTGTCAACAGTTTGTAACATTGTGTGCTTATATATCTTTATATATATGGTAATGTGAGATTTACCTGTATTTGCATCTGAATTGTTGTACTTTATCTGTATTTCCAGGTGTTACCGCCTATACACATCTGAAGCTCAAGGAACAAGATCAAGTCACACCCCTCCCCTCCGTGGTCAGCAAGGCATAGTGGAGGGGGATTCTTATGTTGCTCCCCAAAAGTCCCATTTATACCATGTACTGGTCAGAGGATATTAGTTTTCTCTTTTAAAGTTAGATTGTACTAATAATAAATGTATTTCAAGACCGAATCTTCAAGAGTTTCTTTATACCTACAAGTATAAAACAATGTGTTCATATAATAATACAGTTAGTATCTTGTATTTATTAAGCACAATTGTTTAGCCACTTTTGAAGGACAATATTCACCTCAATCAACCTGTGGTTCAATGAAAATTGTCACAGATACCTACATATAAATTGACTTTGTAAAAGTCAATAATTTATATTGAAGGAATCTTATAGGAGACTTGAACTGTGGGATATTGTGACTTGTTATACCTTTAAAAATTTGTTCCTATATAAATCAGTACTAATAAAAGTCTAACATTTTCAATGTTTTACTGAGCGGGCATGAAAAAATTGATGTTTGACCGCAGAGTGAGATATTGGACCTGTCGATGAGATGTTGGACCACTTATGTCACACAAAGGGCATGGTCAGCTAAATCTCATTTGCATTCGGTGGTGTTTGACATACATGTACCAGGTATGTCAAAAAAAATAAATAAAAGGTATAACAAAACATTTATTGACTGTGTTCTCAGGCAAAATGCGTTTTGTCGACCCCTCGAACCAAACTGTTTGCCTTCAGCCTAACGGCCTCAGGGAAACAGTTTGGTTCTTGGGTCCGACAAAACGCATGTTGCCCTCGAACCCATTCAATAAATGTGTAATGTTACATGATAGAACTCACAATAACATGGCTCTGATCTGCCATATATACTTCTGATTGGTGCATACAGTGTAGTTTGTAAACTTTTAACCAAGTTTTGAAATGCAATTTTCTTTTCAAACATCTTTGAATTGCTGTAGCATTTATAAAGTTAGTAACTTTGTATGTATAAATTTACATTTTACAAATCATTCATTTACTCACTGTTTTGATTCTAAGCTTACATGTAATAAAAATATGCCATCTAAAAAAATAAATGGGGGAGGGGTAGGCTGGGGAATAATTATGGTGTTAATTTTTGCTATATCCTCACTCTTAATAAAGCCATGAATTCAAAACGGCAGTGATTGATTTAAGGAATAAGTGTCTAATTTTTGGATTTTGATGTGATCAAGCAATTGGCTTGCGTGAAAATTTGCATAAAGGCCGAAGGGGTTTATGCATAAAATTATCATGCAAGCCAATTGCTTGGTCATCATCATGAAACCAAAAATTAGACAGTTATTCTGTATGTTTATATGCTGCCTCTTGATTCCATAAATTCACGTGCTCCAAGCCCTGCCTACTTCTCTTTCTGTCTTCCGCCCTGCACATGATTTTTTTAGACCACGCCTTTCGATGAACCAGTAGCTTTATGTAGAAATCAAATATTTTTACTATTTGTAGTATTATCTTGGACAAAGAAATTTAAGAATGTAAATATTTACAAAATAAACACAAACAACATGTGAAAATTGAGATTACAATAATACTTCGAAGCATCAAATAGAGAATGGAGGTAGATTAATGAAACTTTTACGTATTTTTTGTTTTACAATGTTTAAGTAGCAGTGTAATAAGTCACTCGAGTTTTGCAAGCATACAATTTTGTGTGTGATAAGACTGTGTATGAATTACGGTGAGTTATTTAATATTAGTCTTAGTCTTCGTTATTTATTTATCTTTATGAAATCTTAGTTAAATAACTTATTCCATGATGTAAATTATAAAATGGTCTATGCAAGTACATTGTACTTGGCTCCCATCTAATGGTCTCAATACTCGTAGTCCCATAAACAATTAGTCTGCATTTTTTTAAAATTGAAATATTTTTGATTTAATGGACTTGCCAGAGAATCTAGACCCGGAAGAACATTAGCATGAGGTCTTACAGAAAAAGTTGTGTATTACTCTTTCTATCTTGTAAGAATGTACCTGTAAACTGTAATTACTGTATTATATTTTGGTTCAATACCCGTGGGTTGTCATAAAAATTTGTATATTTTATTGTATAGTTTTAATTTAATCTGCATATTTGTTTTTATGAAAAACTGTTAAGTTTATATATATAATCCTTGAGCTGATTATAAACCTGATGATTCACAGAATTAAAGTCTTATGAAGAATTATGATGAATACATGTCTTATAATACATACATTAGGCAAGTCGTCGGACTTTAACCATAAACTATCTGCTTACCTAGAAAATAATGCTTTTCTTCTCCAAAAATTATTGTAATAACACGAATTTAATTACTGTTAAGAATTATTTCATTGGGACTTCATTTTATAGTTTATATTTACAAACCTTGTGTTTATCATTGTTTCTACATAATAATAATAATCCCTGATGAAAATGTCATCCAGGGTTTAATTCGTCATCATAGATATGTTGACTTCTACAGTATATTGTACATGTAGTATACTATTGTGTGATGTATTGCCTGCAAAGCAGGATTTGATTTTCTTCTTGTTTAAATCAGATGATCATGTTCATGGATATATCAAGAGATTATATGATATTCTTCTCACAATTACTATTGGGTTTCAAAAATAAAAGGAACATCAGAATTTTTTGTTCATTTTTATTTCATTATTTCATCAAAATGCTTAGACCAAGAATGATATATGCATAGATACCTGTGCTCTTCAAATAAATCTACACAGCATATATATGACATGTATGTTACCAAAAAATAAAATGCATGTATTTCAATGCTATATGAAATAAATAAACACACATGAATACATTCACATCATTTTGCTTACAATGAACAAAGTGTTTTACAGATGTTTCAGAGAGTTGGAGAGCTTTTAATTGTCTTTTCTTGAGTGTCAATTGTCAATATTCATCCATGAAAATTTTCTATCATATATGTGGAAAATAATTAGATTTTATGCTTTTCAAACTAATCATAAAATGTAAGGTCTTTCTAAATGCATATCATTGTGTATGTATTTCTTATATGACCACGCTAGTGAAATATTTCTCTAAACAGTCTGAACAATTCAATTTTATAAATTAAACTGAAACATCAAGACAGCAAAGGGAAGGATATTTATATTACTCAAACATTAATAAAGAAATGTCAACATTATCTGGGGGAAAAAAAAAGATTTTCAACCCTTCTTTCTAATTGTTCATTAACAAAAACAAGCCTGAATCAAATGAAGTCAAGTGGCCAAAAAAGCCGACTCTCATTCAGATCACCCATCATTATAATTCCTCTTGCTTGCTGACGTTGGTATCATCCATCATCAAACTCCTCTTCATCGCTAAAGTAAGCATCTTTCTTGTATTTCTTACGCTTTGGTTCGTCGTCTTCCGTGACGGAGGAGGAGCCAGAAGCAGCATACCGCAGTGATTCCCGCTCTATCTGTTGTTGCTGCGTAAAGGGGGATAACTAGAATCATTACACACGTATTGAAATGTTGCTGCAGATTTTGAAGGAGAAAATTAGTTTGATACACATACTGAAATAATGCTGCAGATAATGATAATCACAATACACACTTTATCAATTTTCTGAAAATATGTTTTTGCTGCAGATCAAAGGGGGATAACTCTGATAATTACTTTGCAAGCTTGTATAAAAATCAAATAAAGAAGAAAACTAACATGGGGAAAAACGCCATATATGTACTTGATATTTAATGGATACTGATATTGCACATGTTCCTGATATTTTATGGATGGTAAGTAAATGTGTACTAATATCTAGTAGCTGCTGAAAGTAGGTACAGTACATGTGTACCTGATATTTAATGGCTACTGACAGTTAGTACATGTGTACCTGATATTTAATGGCTACTGACAGTTAGTACATGTGTACCTGATTATTATGGCTACTGACAGTAAGTACATGTGTACCTGATATTAATGGCTACTGACAGTTAGTACATGTGTACCTGATATTTAATGGCTACTAACAGTTAGTACATGTGTACTTGATTATTATGGCTACTGACAGTAAGTACATGTGTACCTGATACTTAATAGCTACTGACAGTAAGTACATGTGTACCTGATATTTAATGGCTACTGACAGTAAGTACATGTGTACCTGATACTTAATAGCTGCTGACAGTTAGTACATGTGTACCTGATACTTAATAGCTACTGACAGTAGTACATGTGTACCTGATACTTAATGGCTACTGACAGTAAGTACATGTGTACCTGATACTTAATGGCTACTGACAGTTAGTACATGTGTACCTGATTATTATGGCTACTGACAGTAAGTACATGTGTACCTGATATTTAATGGCTGCTGACAGTAAGTATGTGTGTACCTGATATTTAATGGCTGCTTACAGTTAGTACATGTGTACCTGATATTTAATGGCTGCTGACAGTAAGTATATATATGTGTACCTGATATTTAATGGCTGCTGACAGACTTTCCAGGGCAGGATCTTCGACCTCTTCATCACTGTCTTGCTCTTCTTCACTACAAATAAAGAAATCCTCCTTAGTATCCTTCTCTTACCTATGGAACTATTTTATTTCATCGTCAGTTTGTCTTGCTGGCTAGCTTTCCTGTTTTTGAATTCAGAAAATTACTCTGCAATAGAGCACAATACCACCGATAAGAATAGATCATTAGGGTCAATCTCCATACAAGTTCGAGTAAATGTAGGCCTTGATAGGAATTCTCTCAAAGTGATTGTTTCAGTATGCACATGCATGCATCTTGATAATGGTAAAGTTTCATGTGATATATATTTTTAAACTTCTAGAAACAAAAATTAAGAACCAGTTGTGATATTGATCATGTGTGATATATGCATTGATAACTGCAGTAGTACATATAAATATGTCACACCTACAATTGTACAGGTGTAATATTTAAACTAATATTTACACCTTTACATATTAAATAAGCAGCTGCATTGATGTATGCCATGTCCATTGGTTGTGATAAAACCTGTACATATATGTATGTGGTATGTGTATTGATTACTATATTTGTACACAGGTGATACTGTAAACTAACATCATACACATGTGAGATTTGTGAACAACTCAAGCTAGGAACACTGTGAACCAGTAACTTGCAATGCCATGTTTTACAAATCATAAGGGCTCAATAGTTAATTTTAATTGCCCTGGACTGCTTTTCTGTTGGTGATTCATGAATACAAAATGTCACACATATAAAAGTTGCTTTCTAGTATTTGTCTATGGTATAAGTTGTATCCATATTAGCTGATTATGGAATGCATTGTTTACAACACCTATTCATGTTATACCGACCTGTATTCCTCTTCTTTTTGTTTTTTTCTCTTTCTTTCTTTCTTTGGAGGTGGATCCCTTTCTCCAAGGAGATTTTTTGGACATTTATAACTCAGATGACCTTCTTCCTATAAAATGATTACCAATTCGAAAATCTCCATATGTATAAAATGTATAAAATCCTTCCTTTTTGTAATAATTATACTTTTAAAAAATCATACTCTCACATACATGTAAATGTTTATTATAAGCATTACATATTTTTTTCATAAGAAAAAAATTAGAAACAAAAACATCATGAACTACTAACATTACTTATAAGCATTTACCTGTCATTGATAAGTGTATATACTTACAACACTCATTATAACTGGATTGTCTGTCCGTGGTAAAGTTTACTGAGAATCTGGATTTGTCAATAGTAAGTTTACTTAGAATCTGGATTTGTCAATAGTAAGTTTACTTAGTCCCTAGATTTTGTCAACGGGAAGTTTACAAAGTATTTGGATTTGTCACTAAGTTTTCTTACACCACACTTATAGTATCTGGATTTGTCAGTGGTGAGTTTACATAGTATCTGGATTTGTCGATGCTTTGTTTACATAGTATCTGGATTTGTCAATGGTGAGTTTACAGTGTCTGGATTTGTCAATAGTGAGTTTACAGTGTCTGGATTTGTCAATTGTGAGTTTACATTGTAGGTAAATTTGTCAATGGTGAGTTTAAATAGAATCTGGATTTGTCACTTGTGAGTTTATACAGCATCTGGATTTGTCAATGGTGAGTTTACAAAGTGTCTGGATTTGTCAATGGTGAGTTTACATAGAATCTCAATTTGTCAATTATGAATTTACATAGTATGTAAATTTGTCAATGGTGAGTTTAAATAGAATCTGGATTTGTCAATGGTGAGTTTACATAGTGTCTGGATTTGTAATGGTGAGTTTACATAGTATCTGGATTTGTCAATGGTGAGTTTACATAGAATCTAAATTTGTCAATGGTGAATTTACATAGTATGTAAATTTGTCAATGGTGAGTATAAATAGTATCTGGATTTGTCAATGTTGAGTTTACTTAGTGTCTGAATTTGCCAATGGTGAGTTTATATAGAATCTGGATTTTTCAATGGTGAGTTTACATAGTGTCTGGATTTGTCAATGTTGAGTTTACATAGTATCTGGATTTGTCAATGGTGAGTTTACATAGTATCTGGATTTGTCAATGGTGAGTTTACATAGATTAGTATGTAAATTTGTCAATGGCGAGTTTAAATAGAATCTGGATTTGTCAATGGTGAGTTTATACAGTATCTGGATTTGTTAATGGTGAGTTTACATAGTGTCTGGATTTTTCAATTGTGAGTTTACATTAGAATCTTGATTTGTGATGGGGGAGTTTACATATCTGGATTTATCAATGATAAGTTTACATAATACATGAGTTTACATAATATCTGGATTTGTCAATGGCAAGTTTACTTACACCACATTCATAACATCTGGATTTGTCAGGGTAATCCTTTCTCTTTATAAACTCTGTAGTTCTACCATTATCTTTTGCAATGTTGCATTTTATTGTTCTGCCAAACATCTGTATAAAATAAAATTCAAATAACAAGAGGCCCATGGGCCACAATGCTTGTCAAGTAGCCATGGTTCTTCATCAGCACATTCTTTTTCCAATATATTCTTATATAAAACTTTGATCACGTATTATGGCCCCACCATACCTTCAGGGGTCTTGATTCAATCTACACTGCCTGAGGACACTTCCATATCATGGCTTTGTTCCTGGGAAAATGATTTTTAAACACTCCTCCTATATATTCCTGAGTTAAACTTTGACCTCCCAATTCTGTCCCACCTACACCCATGGGTCCTGATTTGACTGCAATCTACACTAACCGAGGATGAATCCTTATAAATATGGCTGATCATGGCTTTGCTGTTCTTGAGAAGAAGATTTTTATATTTCATGTATATTCCTATGTAAAACTTCCATCCTCTGTTGCATGATTTAAACAAATTTGAATCTACACTACCTGAGGATGCTTCTGTATAAATATGACTAATTATGGCTTTGTTGTTCTTGAAAAGAATATTTTTTAAGATATTTCCTTTATATTCCTATGTTAATCTTTGACCCCCAGTCCTACCCTTAGTGGAACACGATCATGAACAAACTTGAATCTACAGTATGTAATGAAGCTTTCACGTAAGTTTCTTTTTTTCTGGCCCAGTGGTTCTTAAGAAAAAAATTTTAAAATGTTACCAAATTTTCACAAATTCTTAATTATCTCCTCTTGAAAAAAGGACATGGCACATTTTGTGAACAAAATCAAATCCCTATCCACCCAAGAATGCTTTGTACCAAGTTTGGTTGAAATTTGGCCCAGTGATTCTTGAGAAGAAATCGAATATGTTAAGTTTCCAGACAACACACAAGAGACAGACAGAAGGATGCCAGATACTTTTGATAAGAAAAGCTCACCTGAGCCTTCAACTCAAGTGAAAAATCCTCCAATATTAGAATTTATGTTTAAGACATCTGTTTACAGTGTTATTGGGAAAGTTCAAAAATTTTAGATAACTGTTTCTCCTCCATCCTTACACAGTGTTACAAAATCACATGACAATATACATAAATACAAAATATTATTCTTGAGTATTCTAATACTGTACTAAATGACTTTGATGAAAAATATACCACTCAGGTCCTTTTAAATGGGAGAAACTGAAACATTATTCCCAGAAATGTAGGCTGTTACTTTGGTTACATGGTTAGATCATTTAGAGTAATGTATGCAAACTGTAAGGATGAATAAATACCTCAGTTTTGTTAAGGGCACGTACAGCTTTAAAGGCTGAGTCTCTGTCTATAAATAAAATGAATGCTACTCCTTTACTTCTTCGCTCATTGTCCTTTAAAACTGTAACTCTGAAAGACCAATCAAAATATAGAACATTAAAACTGTAACTCTAAAAGACCAATCAAAATATAGAACATTAAAACTGTTACTCTAAAAGACCAATCAAAATATAGAACATTATAAACTGTTACTCTAAAAGACCAATCAAAATATAAAATATTAAAACTGTTACTCTAAAAGACCAATCAAAATATAGAACATTAAAACTGTAACTCTAAAAGACCAATCAAAATATAGAACATTAAAACTGTAACTCTAAAAGACCAATCAAAATATAGAACATTAAAACTGTAACTCTAAAAGACCAATCAAAATATAGAACATTAAAACTGTAACTCTAAAAGACCAATCAAAATATAGAACATTAAAACTGTAACTCTAAAAGACCAATCAAAATATAGAACATTAAAACTGTAACTCTAAAAAACCAATCAAAATATAGAACATTAAAACTGTAACTCTAAAAGACCAATCAAAATATAGAACATTAAAACCGTAACTCTAAAAGACCAATCAAAATATAGAACATTAAAACTGTAACTCTAAAAGACCAATCAAAATATAGAACATTAAAACTGTAACTCTAAAAGACCAATCAAAATATAGAACATTAAAACCGTAACTCTAAAAGACCAATCAAAATATAAAACATTAAAACTGTAATTCTAAAAGACAAATCAATATATATAGAACATTAAAACTGTAACTCTAAAAGACCAATCAAAATATAAAACATTAAAACTGTAATTCTAAAAGACAAATCAATATATATAGAACATTAAAACTGTAACTCTAAAAGAATTCAAAATTTGCAAATCATTAAACATGTTTTCATTCACAACTGTAAGTTTATTTGTTTTGTCAGTGAGAGGTTTTGCCTGTATTTTAAAGAGAGAGAGCAGGGGTTAAATTTTCCTGGAATTTAATCCACTAGCCCACTAGCAAAAAATTACTTGCCCAAACCTCAAACTAACTAGCCAAAATTTTTTTTTATATAACATTTGAACGTAACACAGTTAAAGTTTCAATGCTATGGTGACAGAAACAAATTTAACTACAATGTAGTTCTCATTCAGAAGAAACCAGTCTATATAGAAAAGTGAAAGTAAAGAGACGAGAAATTTTTTTTCCGTTCTGCTAGTCCGATGGACTATCATTACATTTAAATAAGTTAGCCCGAGTCTTAAAATGACTAGCCCCGGGCGTTGGTTACTGACTATATTTCAACCCCTGGAGAGGCAGGCTGTAAGTGTATGTTTGCTTATCTTGGCTGATTGGGACATCCCTGACTGCAGATAATGAGGTGTGAACTGTGAACAATGGTCATGCATGCAATTTGAAGGTTTGAACATGTAGAAGAAGCAGATCAAAGTTACAAGTGTAAGCTGTGTAAAGGTTTTTATGTCTAACTGCGTTCTACCAATCAGGGATCGAAATTAGCCAGAAATACTCGCAAAATGCGAGATGATTTTTAAAAAAGCGAGTAAAAATAGTAGACACTCGAAATTTTTAGCGAGTGGTGATTTTCGACCTCTATTGTCTCGTATCCGTATTTTTCCTGCAATTTGTCTTTTGCTTTTTTGAAACTTTAACACTGATTAAAGCAGCCGTTTTTATCTCTCTTTTTCTATTACCAGGCCCGTAGGAAGCAATTTCACTTTGAGGGGGCACAAACACACATTTTCAGTTGGGGGGGAACTATTAACTACCAAATTTCCTTGACAAGCAAAAAAAAAAAAAAAAAAAAAAAAAAAAACGTTTTTATTGAGGGGGCACAAGCATATAGTAGCTACGTTTTCTATAGTATTCTATATATCGGCAAAATTATTGGGGGGGCATGGCCCCCCGTGCCCCCCGGTTCCTACGGCTATGATTATATTCATATAAGAACATCAGAATCAAACAAACGCTTTAAAGGTCACAGAAATAAGATGAAGCCTTAAAAAAATCAAGTTTGTTTCCTGTAACCCGACCCATTCAAATTGACCCCAGGTAGATTTTTTTTCTGCCAAATCTCAATCAGCTGATTCAATTCATTCATTTTTTTTTAAATTCTAGCTTTATTTGAGATATAAATTATGTCAACCTAGTCAACATTTACCTTAAGGAGGTTCGATCCTGAGCTTTTGAGCAGATTTTGGTCTGGACCTTTATTTATTAAACTCTGCAACATTTTTACAATGCAAATTGAACTATATCCAATGAAAAAACCGCGATTAAATTCCATTCAAATAAGGTTAAGCCAGGAGCTATACTTTGTGGCAGAATTAAGGTTTTTTAGGAGAAAATGATCAATTTTTCCCTTTTGAAATATATACAGTATTGTTAAATTTAGATTCCTATTTTTCCATGCTGGTTGCACACAGAGCTGTTTTTTGCAGTGCATGAAATGTTTTATGCTGGTTCTGAAATATATATTAAATAATTTCTTATGAATTCTTTCATTATATTGTGACAAATATAGTAAATATATTCTGAAAGTCCAGGAAAAAAATTAGCCAATTTTAACATAAAATTAACACTTTTTTAGAAAAATCAAAAAATTTACATCATGATAGACCCCACTTTTGTTTTCTTTTCTGAATATACAAGATAACTTTGATCAATCTGCCTAAATTCAGCAAAAGTTTAAGATTTTAAAATAATTTTCTTGCTTGTTAAATTTTTAATGCAAGAAATATCACATTTTTTGAGTGCAGAAAGGTCAAATAATTGATTATGCGAAGCAATTTGAAACTTTTTTTAGTCACAATTTTAAAGTGTCTTTTTTTAAATAGACTAATAGTTTATTTTGTCCCATGATTTATTTGGATAAAAATATTGGAGGGAAAACATTGAAGATGTGATTTTTGATTAAGACACCAATTTCAGTGCAAATTTTGTCCTGTAATCGATTGTAATCGATTACTTTGGAAGATGTAATCGATTAATAATCGAGTACTTTTAAGTTTTTATCCCTTCAAATATCAAAGCAATATTTAAATGGTAAATGTTGATGTTATCCACTGAAGTTTGAATGTGTTCCTGCAGTTTCAGTGCAGATTCTTTTAAGGTTTTATTCTGGCTAACATTCTCACTAAATGCCTAATTGAAGGATTCTCTACCATAGAAAGTGGAGACATGATTCCTACAATAAAATATGCCACGGAATTAATTATTCCTTTCAACCTTGGATCTGAACCTCCATACTTATTGACTTGTTGCAAAAATTACTTAATATTTTATTTTGAATTACTTCATTAGAAGTATTTGGGCTGCCCATATGTTGACAGTACACATTAAACATTCCTGTACATGTCTCTTGCAAAAAAAAAAAGAAGTAAATTAGAACTCTTAGTAATAAACTTGTAAATTAAATGTACGTGTCTTCAAGTAATTAAACTAATAGCACAATTTCATTCTGTATTGAAATAAGTGTTTTGAGAGCTATTAATTGTTTTAGTAATATTGTTTGTCTTCAATGGAACTATCAATTATAAAAGTTAAACACTAGGTAGTTCACAGTTTACACCTTATTATCTGCAAATAGGGATGTCTCAGTCAATTAATTAGTCAAAATAAGCAAACACAGTGACACTTACTCCCTCTCTTACAGACACTTATAACCTGTCACTGATATGAAAGCAACCTTACAATTTTGAACGAAAACATGAGAATGATTTTGCAAATTTTAAAGTTACTAAAACTCAAGTTTGAAGTTGTTTAAACATTTTCAGATATGAAAAGTATTTCCATCTTCTTTTTTTCTGAGTACAATGTAGTTTATTTACCAAATTATTTATATTAAATACAGCACTTAAATCTGTTTTTGCTATTTATAATTTTCTATTACAAGACAAAGTTTTTCAACATCTTAAATATGAAAAAGGACATGCAGCAAGAGGACAGTGGGTCAAATGTAAAATGCACACAAAAAATCTATATATTTTATTAATAAATGGTTGAAATACACTCCTGAATTATTTAATACTAGACCAGAAGGTCTATAATGCAAATTTTTTTGAGAACATTATTAAACTTATGATAATAAAAGTTAGGAAATCCAAACATTACACTAGGTGGTTTAAATTTGATATTAATGTGTGACTGACTAGAAATAATTCTCCAAAATAACATCCATTTATGTATTAAATAATCGAAAGTAATCGAAAAAGTAATTATAATTACATTGAAAATTTTAGCCGTAATCGATTAAATTACGATTACAAGTAATCGAAAATCTCTTCGATTACAGATTACTGTTGATTACTTGACAAAAAGTAATCATTACAATTGATTACGATTACTCGATTACGATTACCCCATCCCTGGTGCAAAAAGGTCATATTAAATGTACTGTAGCACCAAAAGAAGCATATTGACCCCCATTTTTTGTTTTGATTTTTAATTAAGCTATGTGTTTAGAAACTAAAAATATACTTGACAAAAAAAGTTTAAGACTTTAAATATCAGGATCCAACCTCATTAAATAAAAAGAGTAATCATTATTATAACATCAAGCTTTTCTCCGACAACTTTTTGAAGTTCGTTTTCTGTCGCTAAAAATCCATGTTGTGTGCCTGCTGTAAATATCACACCAAGTCATTTCAGTCCGGGATGTTTGACCCCTTTATTCATTGACACAAAGAAAATTCAGACCTACCCACCCTTGATTTTTGGGAATGTTACAGGAAACAAATATAATTTTTTTTTAGGTCAGATTACCCTTTTTAAACAAATGAAAAAGGCATTTAATCATTCTTTTAATTTTAGCTTGTAGATCTTCATTTTAGCCTGTGGATTTTATATGTACAGGCTAAAATTAGCCTGTGGATTTAAAAGTTAATTTCGATTCATGCCATTATATATTTTTTTGTATAACTGCCTGAAGAGCCTAACATGGCGAAAGCGCTTGCAGTAAATATTTTGTGATTTTTTTTTTCCATTTTTATTTTTAATACACCCAACAAAACTGTACTGGTTCTTCTTTTTGTTTTTGAAATTATATATATACAACATACAATATGTATATGGCGCTAAAGGTCTTTAGAGAGCGAAAGGCCTCTGTGCAAATCGTCAATAAAGTGAAGGGTCTCATTATCGTAAAAATGACATGACACTAACTATAACAATCTCTTCCTTTGAGGTACTGTATGTTACTGTATGTCTATCATTTTCAATTCAACAAAACTGGGAAAAGTGTGAGGAACGAGGGAACGACTTTACTTTACCGGTCCCCAGAAAAACGCGCTAAAATATAGTGTCGCCGTAGGCGACTTCAATATATATGAGATCGCGTGAGCGATCGAAAAAAATAAAAAATATGAGGTTTTAAGCCTTTTTGACCCCAAATTCGAATTCTACGGTTAAAAGTTTAGTTTAAAACTTCGTTTATAAACGAAGTTTTTAACCTCGTTTTCTGAAAAAAAGTAATAAATGTTGTTTATTCAGTGAAAAGGAGACAAAAAATAATTGTGAACGAAGCGCGTGCGGCGCATGCTTAGTGCCGTTTCTTTCGTACTTAGCCATTTTTTTCATGTAAACAAACCAACGAGATGTCGTTGAAGCTGAATTAAGATCTTGCAAAAAATACAGATGCAACTGAATTTCTTAATTAATCTAAAAGAACAAGACACTAACCCTAATCTCTCGGATGGTATGCGAGGACTAACCCTAATCTCTCGGATGGTATGCGAGGACTAACCCAAATCTCCCAGGCGGATGCTAGACCATGCTAGACTAACCCATGTGCGAGGACTAACCCTAATCTCTGGGATATATGCGAGACTAACCCTAATCAGTCGAAAACTTATGCAAGGACTAACCCTAATCTTTCAGGTGGATGCAAGACTAACCCTAACCAGTCGAAAAATGTGCAAAACCAACCCTAATCAGTTGAGTGACGTAAATCTTACGTCATAGTGCAATGAGCGCGCGGATCTTGCGGATCTGGGGACCGGTAAAGTAAAGTCTACCCGGAACGAGAAATCCAAGCAACATCTATAACAGAATACTCACTTGGCTACTCTCCCATATTTCTCGAAGATTTTATGGATATCATTATTTGTTAAGGAAAAAGGCAAATTGCCCACGTACACAGTACTTTTACTTGGGGCTAGTCCGCCACTCATTTACTCCAAATTATGAAAACAAGAAATGAAGCTAGTTTCACTGAAATTTCAAGCAGGATGTAATCTTTCCTCTATAAAATAAAAATCTATCGGGGTTTGGAATTCCGGACTACGACGACTCAGGAAAAAAAAATCTTTTAATGATTTGCTTTATTTGTATGCCTAAAGACCTTTCGTTGTTTCAATTCTTTTTCCTTCTTTTTTCTTTATCAAAATGCCAAATACTTGGGATATAAAGAAATACATTAATCTGCAATCTGGAATCACGAACCCGATCCTGATCGACATGCGACACCTTGAAATCCAGTCAAAGCGCCCCCTAAGAAAACCGGCCCGGTCAAAGTGTCCCAGATTTTGGTCAAAGCGGCCTAGTCATGATTTGCTCTTTTTAGAAGCGTTGTTTTAATTTCTAAATTTTTAAGTTATTTGTGCATAAATAATTTTAGAGAGTGTTACTTTTATCTATTTGTTATGGTGTTCTGCAGGTTTCATGCATTTCACTCGGCCCAATAAATCAACATTAAGTCATTTTCTGTCTAAATATATTATTTCAAAAGATGCATTGGCAATGGAATTCAAACAAACAGAAGCACGGAAGAGGGGGGGGGGGGGTGTCTTTTACCGTGTATCGCATTGGTTCAAAGAGGGATTTAAATGTACTTTCAATAAAAAAACATGTTTAGTGTAAGTACATGTATTCAACATAGTGTGCCACTCCTGCATATACATAGCTCTGGCCCTTTGTGCGAACTCTCTTTAAAATAAAGATACATTTCCAGCACCTTCATTTTCAGTATCCAAACATATTAGAAATCATACTTATACAGCAAAATTCTTACCTCTGTTGCCCATTTTCCCTTGGTTTTTCCAAGTGGCAACATCATTTACATATATACTGACGTGTTTCTTTTCATCTTAGTTCAGTCAGAGGTTAATCAAAATTTTCCACATGCTTTATTAATATTTTTTCTATAATTTAATTGTTTGTGCATGTAGTATTTGTCATGAATCCTGTGCGCGGATATAAGGGGTGGGGTGCCCCCCCCTTCTGGAAATTGCAGTTATTTAATGTATATACTAGTCTAGAGCACTGTAACAAAAAGTGACGATGTTGATGTCTATATATGACTTTACTTTTCAGAACTGATCAGTTTACCTTCCGTGACTTTATGATGGCATCATTTAAAGAATTTCTAACGAAAATAAAGTGACAACATCAGTAGCAAAATGTGAGTCACTTCAGAAAAAATAGTCCAAATTAGTGTAAAAAGACATGTAGTACATAATTACATGTAGTACTACAAGTTTTGCATTTGTAGCTCTATGTCTTGCCAACTATTTTTTTCCAACAAGTTCTGCAACTAAGTTGATTCAAAAGATGTTAATCAGAAAGCACATCAGTTTGAATGGGTTTTTTCAGTTCATTCACGCAAGTCATCTATTAGGTCTTACCAGGGAAGTACATGTATATACTGTCATCCCTGGTCTTTCACATTTCATTTTCTTTAAGTAATCGGTTATCCTCAATGTCAACTTGCACCTTTAGATCTTACACGTTCAAAATACTTTGAACATAAATCGCTCATCCAGACACACAGATTATTGGTCGCTCTTTGGGCACATTCGGGATAATTCTGCCAAGGAGACATTAAATTCCCGATGGATATATTCATCAAAGACGCTCTTAACCCCATCGTCGCAAGCCACGGGTTTTGTGTCCATTCTATTTCCACAAACAGAATGGACACAAAACCCGTGGCTTGCGACGATGTTTCAAATGAGGGTACATGTACATAGAAACACAAACAATTGAATCCAATTTCTTAAAATTGTGAAATTTCATTGAAGTCTCTAAAATACCAGTAACTTCTTTTGTTTCACTTTAAATACAGTCAAACCTCATTATCTGGAACTTGATGGGACTCAGGAAAACTTCGAGATATCTGAGGATTCGAGATTTCAGGGGTAACCGTAAAATACTTGGAAGAATAAGGGGTTGGGACTTCCAAATCACTTCAACATATCCATGGTATTCGAGATATCGAAGTTCAACTGTACATTAAATTTATGTTCTGATCAACTTATTTTAAAGATAACAATTGTATTTGAAATGTAATGTTCAGTAGAACATGGGTATCCCGAACACTGATATCTCGAATACCATGGATATGTTGAACTGATTTGGAAGTCCCAACCACTTATCCTTTAAGTATTTTTCCCTCCATATCTCGAATCCTCGGATATCGCAATTTTTTTTCTCGGTCCCGTTGAGTTCGAGATAACGAGGTTTGACTGTACTTCTCTCCTTCTTCATTGTAGCTGCTGTTTATACCACTCACTGTAAGTTACGGACCAAAGTCAACACCCGAAGGACGAGGCTTGGATGAAGTATAAGTATTCTAATAGAATTGTGTACATGTTGATTGTGTGCTTTTCTGAAGTGAAAAATTGAAATTGTTTAGACTAATCTTTCTTCAACATTTAAATTTTGACAAATTAATTTGGAAACAAAAATTTCCTCAGGTAAATCATTATGATTGGCATTTGTACAATTCTATTTCAAGGATGCAGTGGAACAAGACAACATCCCTAGGAACATGATATGTGCTTGCTATTAGAGACAATTAAAGGCCACAATGTCCACTGCACAAGTTCAGCAACTGAAAAACCTGTAGTCAGCATTTTTAGAGTACCACATATTTCATTCATGTGGACATATACCTTCATTCATTATAAAATACAGCAAGATGGAGGACAGTTTTCCCATCCTGGTTTCCCAAAGATCCAGGTAAGGGAACATTTCTGCTGATCGAAACAAAAGAAATTTGCCCTAGCTGGAGCATATAGAAAATATTGAGAGGTATAGTCTACAGGTTCAATTAAAAGAGTAACTGGTCTTTCTGCCAAAATCACTGTGACAGTTGGAAAGACTCTGCGTGGAGACAGTTTTAGTGTCTCTGTGTAGGCAGCAAAGAATTCCAACCCTATTCTTATTTCCCAATTCCACCTTCCAAGATTGACAAGCCACCAATCTGAAGAGCACATAAAGGAAACCAGCCTCCACTTGCTGATCTGCATATTATGGCTCCTATTCTTCCTCACAGTGCACAGCTAATTACAACCCTGGAATGCTTAGGACAGAAATGACAGTACACAGCTAATTACAACCCTGGAATGCTTAGGACAGAAATGTTGTCATTTTACAGTTTAAAGACTTGGTCAGAAAAATAAAACTCCAGCTGACATAATGTAAATGTAAATGTGACAGAATGAAATTTAATTGATATATAATTTCAATCAATTAAACTATTATGATATGAATTCATTTATTAATTATTTGTAACACATGAATTGATTTATGAATATATTTACAGTACTCAGTTGATTAACCTAAGTATTGTCATGTGGATATTTTTAACTTTTAAACACTGTAGCAAGTTTTGTATGGGGTACCTATGCTTAATTATGGTCAGATATACAGGGTTTCCGATCTTGTGATTATAATTTTGGAGGGAATTTTTCTCTTGTGATGTTTAGTTTCCTTACTGTAGTCATTGTTAAAAAGGTATTTTCAGCCAAAATGAATTGTTTTGTGTAATATTCTTCATCAGTCAATTGATTTGTAGATGCATATATAATTACAGTTGAACTTTGATATCTTGAACACTGATATTTTGAATACCATGGATATGTTGAACCGATTTGGAAGACCCAACTGATTATTCTTTTAGTATTTTACCCTCGATATCTCAATTCCTCAGATATCTTGAAGTTTTTTCTAGGTCCTATCGACTTTTAGATAACGAGGTTTAACTGTATGCATAAATTAATACAAATGTATATGCTTCTATAATAAAAGAAATATCTTGAAACCTTTTTAATTTTATTATAATGGTTGATCATATTGTATTTTTTTTTTATCCATGGATAAATTATTTTCATGATGTGATTATAAGAATCTAGTATTAGTTTATTGCCGTACAATCTTCAATTTTACAACTCATGAGTGGTAAGCATAAATATTTTCTGAATTCATAATAATAATGATAGTATGCAGTGAAAACTGTATCAGTGTATTTATATTATTTATAATTAATCGTATTTTAAAATAATAAGCAGATCTAGATAATTTTGAGACACAAAAATATTTTTGAGTCTTGTGTAGAAAGGGAGTTAACTATTATCTTTATTATATTCGAAAATATGCACGCAAGAGTTATCTTTCCTACAATTTTGTTTCTCATATGCTTTTACTTTGTAACAGTCGCCCGCGTGACGCAGTGTAGAGTCGCGGTGTAAGGAGTTGATCCTTACGTCGCGGGTTCGAATCCACTGCGGGACGTGGAGACCGGTCCTTTGGATGAGACCGTATAAACGAGGTCCCGTGTCGTAGTAGGTGTTGGCTCGAAAAAGATACCTCACTGCTCAATGACCCTAAGTGCCGAGTATATATAGGTATAAATTTGTAACCCTCCACCGGCAAGTGGTGGCCGTCTCCATATGAGTGAAAAATTCTCGAGCGGGACGTAAAGCAACAAACAAACAAACTATGTACATGTAACAGGGTCAATTAACCTATGTGTACCTATAATTGTATATATCAAATAAAGAAGCAAACCTTACATCGGTCTCATTATTATACAGTACCAGACTGAGTTTAAAGTCCATCCCAAGACCCCGGTTTACATTAATTCTAAATTGTTCAAGTCATACATGCCCAACCACCCCGACCCACCTCTGCTGGGTGGGGCCACAATTATATGAGATCAAAGTTTTACATTGAAAGATATGTGAACAAATTTTCTCAAGAACAACAGGGCCATGTGATGATATCAGTATGCAAACATGCATACATTGAAAGATATGTGAACAAGTCTTCTTCTCAAGAACAACAGGGCCATGTGATAAGTGATATCAGTATGCAAACATGCATCCCAGGGATTCTAGTTTGCTTATAAGTCATAGATGTAAATGAAAGTTGGAGATCTTTTAAAAACTGAAGGCCCGTGTCCATC